TCCATCTCGTTGCTTTCACTTTCGGGGGGATTTTGGGATTGGCTACGATTCAGAATCAAACGATTACAAAATTGTGAAGATGACCGAAAAGTGTTCGGTAAGCCCTAGAGTAGCCGAAGTTTTTTCGTTAAAGTCGAATTCATGGAAAGAAATAGAGCCTCCAGTGCGGGATTCAGTCATCGAGGGTATGTCGATTTATGTATCCGGATTTATCCACTGGGTTTGCACTCCTTATTCATTGACCAAGTTTAGAATATTGCGTTTCGACGTTGCGAATGAAGTTTTTAGCGAGATGGAATTGCCAATAGAGATTGATAGGTGGCGCTATGGCGTTGTTTCCATTGCCGTAGCGAATGGTTTGCTTAGCATCGCGGTTCTGAAGAGATATCCGGACATCTGTGAGGTGTGGACGATGAATGAATACGGAGTTTTGGGTTCATGGATTCGACGGTTCGAAGGACGGGTCCCTCATCATAGCAAAATTGCGTCTATAGGATTAACTATTGGATGCAAAATTATGATATGCTCGACTAATAGTGGAATTTTAAGACGGCATAACAACAAAGGGAAGAGAGAAGCTAATGAAAATACACTGCTTGTGTTCGACCTGAAAATGCCGAATCGTGTCTATAGCACTCGACTACTTGATTATCCTTACAGTGTGTACGCCTTCGAAGCAAGTCTCGAACTTTTTGACTATGTTGCGAGGTAGATTGGTAATTATGTTTATGAGAGTTATTTTAGATATTTAGTTTATTATTTCGTGTCATTTTGAGATTTTGCGGTAATGTTTTTTATTGTGATTTTGTATGAATTTTCTAGTAATATATGTTTCATCGATTAGTTTTTGTTCTAAACGTTAATGCGTTTATCTATGTTCTTGTCCATTAGATCAATTTTTACATCAATCATAGTCTATTGTTAAGTATTGAATTTAATGTTATTTAAACTAATATTTTATCTATTTGAAATTAATATCATTAGTTAATTATATGTATATATATATATTTTGGAAATAAAAAACCTTACAAATTAATATCATTCATTAATCATTCTCATTATTTATACAACTTTTGTTTTGGTTACTATTTTATTTTATTTTTTTGTTTGAATACAAAGTTGATACACACCCAAAGTTGAATGCTCATTCTTTAGATAAAAATTGGTTTTAATTTTTTTTATTACATCATCACCTTTATTTCTTATAAAATTATAGTATAGATTTTTAAAAAATATAAAATAAAATTTACTTTTCAAATTAAAAACAAAACAAATTTAAAAAAAAAAAAACACACAAACTCAATTAAAATCAATAAACTACGAAATGCATAATATATATACCTCGACAAACACACCTACATTCTTAGTTTTGTTTATTACTATTAGCATCTAATCTTATCTTAAATATATATATTATACTATGTTCGTCGCTTAACAATTTATCTATTTATTTTTTCATTATTTACATAACATTATAAATATCTTTCCAATTTACAATATACTTCCTCCGTCCCACGTACCATGTCCACGTTGCCGTTTCTGTCCGTCCCACATTCTATCTCACTTTCATTTTTTGGAAAATGATTACACAGTTTAATCTATTTTAAACTTTTTAATTTTTTTTTAAATTTTAATAAAACTAATTAGTTATTTTAATTTTAATTTATAATTATTTATATTATAGGATAATTATTTTCATTAATACATTCTTAATTATCTACTAATTACATCATTTCTAAAATATCGTGTATACAGTGTAGCAGACACTGTATATCGGACGGATGGAGTATTACATAAATGTCATTACCTTTATATCATACAATACCAATAGGGTTAATTTAGTTTTTTTTACCTTTATTTCTACTTTATTTCAATATAATACTAATATTTTTAAAATTCCGTTCAAAAAGCAAATAGGTATATATATATATGGGACAAAAGGAGTATTATTTTTAGTATTGATATTTTTATTATGAAATAGCATATCAAAATACATTCAAATGAAAATTCCAATAAAGAAACTAAAATTTAAACACAATTAAAAAAGTTTAATACTATAAGGGTGTGCTTGTTAGGGGCATTGAATTAGATTTCCATTATTCATCCCATTTATTTTTTTCAAAAATATCAAATCAAACACGTATTTTTTATTTTTTATATTATATTAAAAATCAATTTTATATTCAAAACATCACATCAACACCTATTTATATCACATCATACAACTATTCAAATTCAAAATTTTTACTATTCAAATCTCAACTCAAAATCCAAACCCCCAAACAAACACATTATAAATATATTTATAACATTTATTTATATATATTAATAAAAAAGATGTCCCGTATGAGCTAATTAAATTATATGCATATTATTACACTTATAAATATTTCATAAATAAAATTAAATGACAAAAACAAAAACTCTTTTCACACTTTCATTAATTAATAAAATATTATTATTTTTTAATCTTTTATAAAATTCCAAATAGCCTGACATATGAAATACCATTTCTTTTTTTACTCTATTTTACTATTAAAAAGAAAAAAAAAATTATATTTTTACCAATTCTTTTTAAAAAACTTGTACCGATCAAATAAAAATAAAATTAGATAACGAACCTGTGATTTATACAACTATTAATAAAAATATTTTATTGTATTTTATTATAAATATTATATCAAAATAATATTTAAATTAATATTTCAATCTCAAACCAATGTCATATTTTCACATAACATTTTCAATCTTTTTCTAGCTATTTATTTTTAACAATATATGGAGTATTATATATTATACGGAATATTACTCCATTCGTCCCACATAATTTGTCCATATTTTCTTTTTTTTTTCCCACGTAATTTGTCATTTTTATTTTTGGAAATATAATTATACACTTTAATCACATTTTAAATTTTAAATTTTTTAATTTTAATTAAAATATTTAGTTATCTTAATCTTAATCTATAATTACTTTTAGTATACAATAATTATTTTTACTAATACACTTCATAATTACCTATTAATTATACTTTACCTAAATTTCAGTACACCTATATTATATAGGAGGGATGGAGTAATTTTTATCTAATATTATATTTAAATTGTTTTTGTAGATTATGGTTTTGATTGATCTTTTTTTCCATGTTCTTTATCTATTATATTTGACTTTTTTTTTTTTCTAAAATGCAAAATCTCATTATTCATTAGTTTTTTTTTTCCCACAAAAAATATTAAACCAAAATTCTAATTTGGATTACTACAATCAACTTTAAATTCAAAATATTATATACTCTATATGTCGGAAAATATACATATTTTAAAAAGCGTAACGTACCGGTGAAATAAGTTACCTTTTTATTTTAGATTATCAAATTGTAAGGTAACTATTTCATTGAATATTCTATTCTTTTTCACAAATACTGTTACTTTACCATCACATTGTTACTTTTATACTAAAAAGTAAAGGCAAAACTATTTTCTATACTAATTTTAATTGCTCATTATAATTAAAATACTATTATTTTTTAAATTTCACACCAAAATTTATATATAGTAAAAAATATATATTTATATCATATTAAATTATTATTTGAATTTATGTTTTAATATTCTCAACCTTAAATCTAACTCTATAAATAATAAAAATAATAATGTAACTCTCAAACCAACAACCAAACAAACCCTTGTTTTCAAAATTGTATTTGATTTGATTTTGTTTAGATTCTAGTTTGAAAGTAATTTGAATACGATGTTATATTAAATTAAATTGTTTATTTTTATATAAAATCTAAATAATTTAGTAAAAAAGTCAAAAACTAAATTGTAAAAACACAAAGCAAATATTTTTATATTAATTATTATATCATAATTTCAAAAATACTTTTATTAGTATCTTATAATACTAAAATTATACAAATATAATAATATTTTTAATATTAAATACAATGACGCAAAAGGTAAATGTGACCCTCGGAGACATGAGGTAGTATAAAATATAATCAATTATCATTTTACGTATAAACAGTTAATGTCAAACAATTATTTTATCAAATACTTTAGCTAATATAGTCAGTTAACAATTAATCGAATCAACTATTAATTTTTTTTTTTTAATAAATATATGTAGATTGAGTCAAATCAATATTATATTGATTTATACGGTACAAAGGTATTTAAAAATATTTTATTTATAAAAATTCTTTTCATTGAAAAAAAAAAAACTATTCATAAGATACAACTTTCATTAATCACAAATTATTTAAAATTTAAATATATTAACTAAATGATGGTTGTATTTTTATATAATACAATGTTACATAAAATTATATTATAATGATCAAAATATATATATTGTAATTATATTATATTTTTGTGACTGAGTGAAATTAACACAAATGTAACCGATAGACTTGACTACCTACGTAGCCTTAACATATAAGTACCACTTAAGGACATCAATCTAATTCAAACATTAGGGTTTAGGGCTTAACTCAAAACAAAACTTACTAATTTTGTTGCTCAAAATCAATCACATATAAATATTTCATCTGCTCATAACCTACTTGATTTGAACAGATCTACTTTTTAATGTTTAGACCATATATCCCTCACAAAAGAAAGAAACCCTAATTTGTCTAGTAACGGATTGTGATGTATAATTTACTTGTCAGACCTAATTTGTAAGGTACTAAATTTGGTCCAATGTACACTTTCGCACAATAGCGGCATATTCCCACTTTATAATAACCAAAAAATCTTATCAACAATAAAAATCAATTGAATTCTTTTCCGATTAATATATCCGATTTACATTTTAAAATATCCACAATCATTATATACATATAATTTTAATTTAGTAGTATTTAAATGTGTTTTGATTGTTTTATCTCTACATCCATCTTTTAACAAAAACCCTAAAACCCCAAGCCCTTTCATAGTTACAAGGCACCCATCTGACTTTTTTTTTTCTCTTCTCTGTTGATTTTCAGATCCTTACAATGGCCGATAACGAATCCAAATTTGTGCCCGACGACGTAATCTTTGAGATACTGACATGGCTTCCGCCGGAGACTCTTCTCCGCCTGAAGACCGTCTGCAAACTGTGGAACTCGACAATCTGCGATTCCAAATTCATAAGGAAACATCGATCCAACTTCAGCGACCCCCGACGCAACAAAAACAACATCGGCCGCATTATAAAGATCACGAGATTAATCAGGTTTGGTTCCTTTAAGATATACAAAACTTTTGTGTTACCTGAACACAATTTAGGTGCAACCTTTGGAAATTCGGAATTCATCGATGATTCAGATGGACCTTTACAAATGGGAATTTACGGTTCTTGCAATGGCGTCCTTTGTTATGACTTACGTTCCACTCATCTAATGCTATTCAATCCTTGCATCGGGCGTTCGATATCCATTCCAAATTCTTCATCTCGTCGCATTACATATCCAAGGTATTTCGGGATTGGCTACGATTCAGAAACAAACGATTACAAAATTGTGAAGATGACAGAAAAATTTTCAATAGCCGAAGTTTTTTCGTTAAAGTCGAATTCATGGAAAGAAATAAAGCCTCCGGTGGGGGTTTTAGCCCTTGATGGTATGTCGATTTATATGTCGGGATCTATCCACTGGCTTCGTATTCCACGTTCGTCGAAGACGTATAGAATATTGCTTTTCGACGTTGCGAATGAAGTTTTTACCGAGATGGAATTGCCAATGGAGATTGATAGGTGGTGCTTCAGCGTTGCTTCGATTGCCGTAGCGAACGGTTTGCTCAGCATCGCGGTTCTGAAGAGATTTCCGGACATGTGTGAGGTGTGGACCATGAATGAATACGGAGTCTTGGGTTCATGGATTCGACGGTTCGAAAGACCGGTCCCTTGTCATAAGGAAATTCAGTCTATACAGTTAACCGTTGAATGCAAGATTATGATATGCTGGTACAATTTTGCTGAGACTAGAAGAAGACGAATGTTAAGACCGGATAGCAACAAATGGAATATGGAAGCTAATGAAGCTACACTGCTTGTGTTCGACTTGGAAAAGCCAAATGGTGACTATAGCATTCGACTATTTTATCCTTACGACTACGCCGCCATCGAAGCTAGTCTCGAACTTCTCGATTATGTTGAGAGATAGATGGATGATTATGAAATATTTTAAATATTTAGTTTATTGTTTCGATTATATTTGATTAACTCATGCTTTTGATTGAGGGTATGTTTTACATTGTGATTTTGTATGAATTTCCTAGGAATATATGTTTCATCAATTTTTACATTAATCACTGTCTATTGTTGAATTATTGAATTTAATGTTATTTAAACTAATATTTTATCTATTTGAAATTAATATCATTAGTTAATTATATATATTTTTTGGAAATAAAAAACCTTAAAAATTAATATCATTCATTAATCATTCTCATTATTTATACAAACTTTTGTTCTGGTTACTATTTTTTTTTTTTAATTTTTTGAATAAAAAGTAGATACACGCCGAAAGTTGAATGCTCATTCTTTAGATAAAAATTTCGTTTTAATTTTTTTTTAATATGTCATCACCTTTATTTCTCATAAAAATATATACACTTCCTCTGGACTCTTTCGGGTTTTATAGTATATTAATAAATAATAATATTTTATTAGTCGGTGGAAGTGTGTAAAAAATTTTAAATTTTAACATTTTTGTCTTTTTAACGTTATGCAAAAAGTAATTGTATATTTATAGTTTAGGTAAAATTTTAAGTAAAATTTAAGAGTATTTTGATATTGATATATGATTACTTTTACTAAAATAGAAAATAGATATTTTGAAGTGGAATGGACGAAATGATATATAAAATAAAATTTACTTTTCAAATAAAAAACAAATCAAATTTCCAAAAAGCAAAAACACTCTTAATTAAATTCAATAAACCACGAAATGTCGGGAAGGAGCCCAAAATTTTTAGTATTCATTTTTCGTATATACCTCAAAAAACACACCTACCTTCTTAGTTTTGTTTAATATCATTAGCATCTAATCTTATCTTAAATATATATATATATATATTATTATTTTTAGTATTCATTAATTTTAATTAAATACCATGTCAAAATACATTCAAATTAAAATTTCAATAAAATACTCAAATTTTTAAAAAAAAAGTTTAATATTATAAAATATATTTTATATATATTATTAAAAAAAATGTCCCGAAGGAGCCCAAAATTTTTGGGTCTTGGACATGTACAGTGCTTTTTATTTGAGTTTTAAATAGAATTTAATAGTCCTTAATCATTTAAATTTATACTTATGTTTTTTAAGTTATCATAAAAAAATATTTTTATTTTACTATTATATAATTATTTTTATACCAAAAAATAAAAATAAAATTATTTTTATATTACTTTTGATTGTTCATTAAACTTAAAATACTATTATTTTTAAAATTCATACCAACAAATGTATAAAAGAAGTATATATTTATATCATATTAAATTATTATTTTAATTTATATTTTAATATTCTCAACCTTAAATCCAACTCTATAAGAAGAAATAAAATAATCTAACTCTCAAACTCATAACCAAACAAACCCTTGTTTTCAAAATTGGATTTGATTTGATTTTGTTTAAATTTTAATTTGAACACTACAAAAAAATAGTATATTTGTAACGGAATTCCGTTCTTAAAGTTCACGTAGCTTACGTAATTTCATCTCTAATTCCGTCTCTAATATCATTAGTAACGGAAAAAGTGAATTTAGGAATGAAAAAATCTTGTTACAAAATTGATAATTTCTTGCAGTGGAATAAGATGTTATATTAAATTAAATTGTTTATTTTTATATAAAATCGAAATAGTTTAGTAAAAAAGTCAAAAACTAGATTATAAAAACACAAAGCAAATCCAAGATCTAGACAGGATAGATGTTATTGTTCTGGTCTCCATTTGTCATGTGTAATTTAATAAAAAAACAAAAAAATTATTTCACTAAAATTTGACATATAATAATAATAATAATAATAATAATAATAATAATAATAATAAGGTCTCCCACCCCACCCCACCCCACCCCCACCTACCTGCCGCTGTAGAATGGACCACTTATTATGTATAGAGAAGGCATTTATGGACACTTTCTACACCCATATTTTGGCTGCCTACCTTCTTACCCAAATACACTGCCTATATTTGTTTTCAATTTTAATAATATTTTTTTAATATAAATTTTCATATGTATAATTTTAAATAAAAATATATGATTTTTTTTTTTTTATCTCTCTAAAATAAACTTAAAAATTTTCATAGAATTAGTAACATAAATTTTAGGTCAAATTAGAATTAATATACAAAAAAAAAATAAAAATTGCAGAATTTGAAGTTATAACTTTACAGTTACGAGTTTACCTTACCAAAGAATAATATTTTTTACTTATGTTTGTTCGAGGATTTGAATTTTGAATTGTAAAAATTTTGAATCTGAATAGTTGTATGATGTGATATAAATAGGTGTTAAATGTGATATTTTGAACGTAAAATTAATTTTTAATATAAAATAAAATATAGGTATTTAATTTGATATTTTTAAGGAAAAAAAATAGTGTATTTAAAATCCAATTCCTGGAACAAACAATTTCCCGAACAACCACAATAGACATATTAAAATAGTAGAATAAATATATTTTAATAATAAAAACTTCCAAAATTCTTTAATTGTCGTGATGGTATAGAATGAGGTCCATATCTTAGACAAGTTTGAAAATAAGGATTTTCTTATTTGGATTTTTAATAATAAAAATTTAAAATTGACTTAGTTGTTTGATGATGTGATATAAATAAATATTGATTTGATGTTTTGAATTTAAAATTATAATAATAATTATTTGATTTAATATTTAAAAAATTGAAAAATAAAAATATTTGATAAAATTCAAAAAAATACTATATCTAACACAACCATATATACATACATATATATATATCATATCATTGCTGCATCATTATCTCCCTTGTTATATATATATATATATATATATATATTGACAGTGTATATATAGGTGTGCCCCAATTAATATATAAATAATTTGTATAAATAAAAAGAAAAAGAAAATATCTCAGCATTTCTTGCATATATATATATATATATGTTTATATATACATAGAATAGTAGTAGTATTTCATTATCATATATACTTTGATTGCTTCTACAATACAATGGCATTTCACAAAACCCTTTTTCATATCTATTTCTTTTTTTCATTAGTATCCATCAATTTCGCCCGTATCGTTCCCGAAGATCAAGAACTCGACCGGATTTCGACGCTGCCCGGACAGCCGCCGGTCAATTTCTCGCAATTCTCCGGCTACGTCACCGTCAATGAACAACACGGCCGTGCTCTCTTCTATTGGCTCACTGAAGCTCCCAAAAATGCCCACACAAAACCTCTTGTTCTTTGGCTCAATGGAGGTATGATAAATGTTTTTTCTTTTTTTTTTTTTTTTAAATTATACTATTTCGACCATTTTAATTTAAATAAAAATAAATATCATACTCAACTGCTAATTTTACCTACAAAACATCAACAATTAAATTTTACAAAGCCCCCCCCAAAAAAAACACCTTAGTCATACCTTTTTTTAATTGTAATTAAATTATATGATCGTGTCTATTTAATTCTTAGCAGTTTAAGATAGTGTATTAGTGAATTTTTATTTAATGGTTGTCACATAATTTGTGGAGAATTTAATTTGAAACAAGTAAATTTTGGAATAGAATTAAATAGTTTATAATGACTGATATCAATAATACACATACATATATGTATATATATATATAATCTATAATGGAGTGTTTAATTAGTGATGTTTGTGTTATGAGGTTTTTTTTTTCTTAATTTTTAATTTTATAAAAAAATATATACTGTATTTTTTTGATAAAATATTATATCAAATTGTTATTTAAAATCGAACCTAAAATCAGGGAGGGGAGCCTCACGGTCATCCCTTTCTACCCCACTCTCAGCATCATCACACACTCATGTATAGATACATGAGTGTAGGGAATGATGCTGAGATCCCCTCCCCTAAAATCAAGATATAAAATCTAACTCAACCAAACACACCCTAACATTAGTTAAAATCATTAGTAATTTCTATCTCATTGTTTAACAATCAATACATATAAAGATCATTGTATTTCCTTTTAAGAGAATTCTTGGTTTTTTTTTTCTGATTTTAAAAAAAAGGGGAAATAAAGAATGATTTATTTATTTATTATTATCTTTTTACATCTTGCAAGAAATGCATCTCTTTAATGCTACTCATGCCAATAATATATGAAAATTAATATTCCCTCCGTACTATTCCAAAAGAATTATTTGAAAGTGTGTAAGAAATTTTAACAATTTTGTCATTTAACTTTATTTATAAAATAATTGTATTTGTAATAGTACGATTGTAATATATGTATAAATTAAAGGTATTTTTATATTAGTGTATAATTACTTGAAAAACGATATTTTGAAATTAGACATACAAAAATGGTAGAAATGTACTCTGATTCGGAACGAAGAGAATATATAAGGAATTTGATTATTTAATAAAATAAAATCTAGCTCCTTTTTTTTATGACGTGAAAACCCGTAGCTGCTATCGAAAGTGTGCACTTGGTAAATTTTCGGTCGAATCTAATACCCTGCAAACTACAATTCTAGCCTTTTTTTTTCTCTTTTCTTTTTTTAATGACGTGGGAACCCTCAACTGCTACCCGAAAGTACGCATTGGGTAAATCTTTGGTCGAACCTAATACTCTAAAAAAAAAAAAAAAATCTAGCCCTTTTGATTGAACGGTTCGAAGTCACTTCTTGTTCATACATTAAATCCCTTTTTCTATACCAATTTATTATAAAAAATAATCTATTTATACTAATTTATTATAATAATAAATAATTTTTTCATTTTAATAATTCCTTGTGTTACTCATCGTATTTTTTCTTCCTTCATTTCTACTTTTAATCTTAAATCCATCCAAAATAATGCCCGTGGGTATCTCCATTGGTCCCCAAGTGTGTTGTTGAATAAATGTACGTATTGATTTTAGACTTCTTATAAGACCAGAAAAAACAGTATAAGTCTCCGATTTTTCAAAACTATTGAAATAAAAATTATTTAATATTATTTTTAATAACTTCGGAATTGATTCCAAAGCTTTTTTTCGAAACCAATTTCCAAATTCCTGGTAATGTTATTTCGATTTGAGTATTCGATTAAATAATACTATTACAAATTTTGCGAATTTAATTAAAAATAATATAACAATATATTCTCTTCATCCATCAAATTATCCTTATTTTCTTTGTAATTTACAAAATAAAAAATATATATAAACAAATTTTTGGTGTACGGATGAAGTATATGTAACAAAACCTCGTAACTATCACTGTTATTGTACGGGAGCTCAGCTCCCGGGAGCTGCGAAAACAAATCGGTCCAGCATAGTCATCATCCCTTACAGGTCGTGTTAGGGCAACCATTGACACCCGTCGCACGTTAGCATAAAATAGCATTGTTTCACTAAGATGCGCCTTTGGAACAGAAAGTTGCCTTTTTTAGGGCTTTTGAAATGAAAACTCCAAATTTCTTTGCATAAACGTGAAAAGAAAAATAAATAAATAAAAGGATTGAGGAAAAAATGGAGTGCCGACAGTAGCTTAGCTTCTCGATCGTCTATATATACTTTTTTGCGTTTGTCTCGTTATATTTATCTTTTACATAATTATACTTAGTATTAAAATTATTTTTATATTTGTATAATTTTTTTATACAAATATTGTTATATTAGTATTACAAGACACTAATAAAATTATTTTTATATTTGTATAATTTTTTTATACAAATATTGTTATATTAGTATTACAAGACACTAATAAAATTATTTTTGTCCATTTACCTTTGATTTATATCATATTTTGATATAATAATTAATATTCAAATATTAATAAACAAAAAGTAAATGTAACCTTTTATAGTAGAATGGAATTGGTATATAAAGAGTCTGATATATAAAGGGAATTAATTATAATGTGATTGAGTCGAATGTCGCACTATTTATCAATTTTTTTCTTCTAACAACTATATATTAGAACAAAAAAATTAATTAAAAATAAAAACCAATTGTTATCTTATGTAATAAATCATATCAAATGATGTGTTAATTTATATAACAACTATAGTACATTATTATTAGACAACAAACTCAAATTCAAATTTATTTTTTTTTTAAAAAAAAAAACCCTTAAGTTATGTTGTTTGTGGTTTTTTCATTTTTACTATTTATAATTTTTTTTTAAAAAAATATCGCATCAAATCTATAAATTTAAATTTGGATACTATATTAAAAATTAATTATACATTCAAAATATTAATATTTAAAAAATTTCTCTTTGCATTTCACTTTTGAGTTTTCAATTTAAATATTAAATAATATTTTGAATTAGTAATTAATGAGAAAAATAAATATATTATTATTGAAAGCATACAAAAGTTTCTATAATAAAAAACAGAAATAAAGTCTCTTTGTTTACGGGATAATTTTTTTGGATTTTCTATATATTTATTTTTTGTTGCTAGATTTCCTAATACTATTATATCCTCTACTTCGTCCATCATAAAATATTTATATTTTTTTATTTCAGTTCCTTCTGTATAATTTGTTATTTTTGTTTTTAAAAATATAATTAAATATTTTAATCAAATTTTAAAATTGATAATTTATAATTTTTTTAAGTTTAATTTAATTATTTAATTATCTTAATTTTAATTTATAATTAATTTTATTATACAATAATTTTTTTTTACTAATATAATTTTTAATTAGTAATTCATTATACTTTATCTAAATTTTTTTATCTACAGTAATACAAACCATTTATCCTGACAAAAAAACTATATTTTGAGATTGAAATTTTAGGTGTTATGAGTGGGGTACACTTTCAATTACCAGTTAAGGGTGTGTTTGTTTGGGGCTTTGGATTTTGAGTTGGGATTTAAATAGTAAAAATTTTAAATTTGAATAGTTGTATGATGTGATATAAATAGGTGTTGATATGATGTTTTGAATGTAAAATTAATTTTTAGTATAATATAAAAAATGAAAAATAGGTGTTTGATTTGATGTTTTTAGGGAAAAAAAATTAGATGAATAGTAAAATTTTGTTAAAATTCTACAAACGAACACCCTTAATTAGTTAGCACAATCTACAGCTCACTCACACATTGTATATATATAAACAAAATTATAATCGATATCGACTTTGATTAGATACAATTTTTGGAGGATTTTGAAAGTTTGAAAAAAAAAAAAAAATGTAAAAAAATAGTATTTGATTTGATATTTTATGAAAAAAAAAAAAATTGATAATGATATTTTTTAAAAAATAAATAGTAACAAATGAGTAAAAAAATATTGATCAAAACCTCATTTTTATTGGTTTTTGGATACACTTGAGAATTAGAAACCCTAATTCTTAGAGGAATATATATAGTTAGTTAGTTACTCTACTCCCAATGTATCGTGTCCATCTTATACCGATGAATCACCATTCATAATTTATATTTAAATTTTTTATTTTATTATTTATTTTTATTTTAAAAATATATATGACTGGATGGTGATTGAGGAGGATAACTGAACCATATATATATATATATAATCATCAATCGTGTGTAGGTTAGTTTAATTTGTACATTCTTGGAAAACCCTAATTAATTAAATAGTCGTATAACCACATTTTTATTAATATATATAATACTTCCTTCATCCAATAACAAAGTATCTATTTTTTTATTTTAGTTCGTTTCATAATAAAATATTCATTTTTTTTTAGTAATTGTTCTACCTACCTACCATTACAAATACCCTTACAACTTACAATATATTACACAAATGTCATTACCTATATTATCACACCATACTAATAATATTATTTTAGTCATTTTCTACTTTATTCCTACTACGTTTTAATATAATACTAATATTTTTAAAACTACGTACAAAAAGCAAATGAATATCTAATTATGAGACGGATGGAGTATCGTATCTGTCGGCATATATATATATATATGTATATATATGTGTGTGTGTGATGCATGGATGGACAGGACGGAGGAGGAGACAAGACAATTTATAACATAAACTGACACCACTTCCAATTTCTTCAATTCAATTGACGCAGGCAGCCACTGTACTGCACTAATAGTAATAGTTCCTGCTATGCCCTAGTGCGCATGTGATCTATCTTTTCTATATATAAACACGACTAATATAATTTTTTCCTCCCACTTAAATTATTTTTTTTTTCAATTTTTTTTATATATAATTTATCTTTTATTATAAATATAATTATATATTTTAATTATATTTTAAATTTTATAATTTATAATTTTAAAATTTTAATTAAATTATTTATTTATTTTAATTTTATTGTGTAATTATTTTTATAATACAATAACTAATTATATTAATATATTTCTTAATTATTTATTAATGTATTTACACGTGAATAATATATCTGAGACGGAGAAGGAATATCAAATTTATGGTTACTTTTTTTAGGTTGTCATAAAATTCTTATTCCATTTATCTAGCAACAAAAATAATCACTTTTTTATATTTTTTATTGCAAAAAAATAAAAAAAAAATATTATTATTATCTATTTTTTATTAATTATACTAATATAGGACTGTTTCAACAAACCCGATTTACTTAAATGACTAAAATGATAATTATAAATATAATATTTCTTCTATTTTATTGAAATGTTACCATTTTTTATTTTTGTCTGTCCCAAAAATAAGGTTATAATTTCCTAATTTAGTAATTGTACTATCTTACTAACATAATAAATACCCTTTTAATTTACAATATATTACACAAATGTCATTACTTTTGTATTATACCATACTAATAGGGGTATTTTTGTCTGTTTTATTACAATCCAATATAATACTAATATTTAAAAATTTCCGTGTAAAAAGCAAATATCACCGTTCCAATTGGATGGAGGGAGTATTTAAAATATATTTATATCTCTCTATGTATAGATTAAGATATAAATAGTAAATGCATTAATGTATCACCTAGAAATTACATCACATTCATGTATTTGCATGCATGCATTTTATTGCAACACATGGCGGCTGCCTCTAACCCAACCACATTCATTAACTCATCAATGGACCCTTTATTTATTTAATTTATTTATTTTTATTATTTTCAATTAATTATACGATCCAAGAAGAGTAAAGAGCCCATGAGTGTTTTGTTTCGGTTTTAACATTCTTATTAATTATTTTTATACATATATATATATATATCTCAAATATATTTATACATATCCAATTATATGTGGTGTTATAATATATACTCATTTCGTCCGTCTCTAAGATCACATTTTTTTTTTGCGTCATTGTATTTAACAATAAAAATATTCATATATTTGTATTTTTTTTTTTGTACAAATGTCTTTCTATTAGTATTATAAGACACCAATAAAAGTATTTTTGTAATTTTTTCTTAATTTATACTAATAATTAATATTCAAATATCAACACGCAAAAAGTAAATGGACCCTTAGAGCCAACGAATGTAGTATTATATTATATTATAAATAAGCTAAAATATGAATAAATATATGTTTGTCACCCCTATAATATGTTGATCCGATCAAATTTGGGCTATACTGACTTGATCGGATCAACCGCCGATCTATGCCCATATATATATATATATTATATTCTCTTACAGTTTATTACGTAAAATTATTACTTCCTCTGTCTGTCTATAAGGATCACACTTACTTTTTACGTCATTATAATTAACATTAAAAATGTCCTTATATTTGTATAATTTTTTATATACATGTCTTTCTATTAGTATTATAAGACACTAATGAAAGTATTTTTTTCAATTTTTTCTTAATTTGTACTAAATTTTGATATAATAATTAATATTTAAAGATTCTTAGAGCCGGACGGAGACAGTATTTTATATAAACTCAAGTTAGTATTATACAAACTTTAATTAAAATCAAATAAGTTTGTGAGTAAATTTTTAATAGAAATTGTGTAAGAGTTTATATTGTAAATGTAAGTGAGATTTATTTATTTATTTATTTTTATGTAGGACCTGGATGCTCATCAATAGCGTATGGAGCTTCTGAAGAAATTGGAGCATTCAGAATCAACACAACTGCTTCATCTCTTTATTACAATGAATACTCCTGGAATTCATGTATATTTAATTTTCTTTCCATCAAACTTAATTCATTTTTATTTATCCAAAAAAAAAATAATAAAAAAAATTAATCTTCATTTTCATTTGCAGTGGCAAATATTCTTTTCCTTGAATCACCAGCTGGTGTGGGTTACTCTTACACTAATACTACCTCTGATCTTAAGGATTCTGGGGATACAAGAACAGGTTTTTATATATGTTTATGTATATTAGGGTTTTAATCATTCTTATTTATTTAATTAATTATTGTGAAAATAATTTAATGATACAGCTGAGGATGCCCTAATTTTCCTGATAAGATGGATGTCGAGATTTCCACAGTACAAATATAGAGATTTCTACCTCTCTGGGGAAAGTTATGCCGGTAAATTTGTGTTTGCACCTTGGTTTTTTTTTTTATCTTATTTTTAATATTTATAATTGTTTTTTTTCAAAGCATCGTATTAAATATTTATTTTTTATTTTTATATTAATTTTAATATTTAAAATAATACATCAATATACATTTATATTATATTAAACAATTATTTCGATTCAGAATTTCATTCTTCAAAACTCAATAGCCAACTTCAAAACCTACAACTAAATGGGCTTTATTTATTTATTTATTTTGTTATTTGGTTATGAAACTTGTGTCATAATAATGGTGCAATCTCTGAATTTTATGACCAACCAACCAAATACAATAAATTACATCATCAAAATACACATTGGTGTAATAACTTATAAATTCATCAAGGGCGTGTTTGTTTGGGGGTTTGGATTTTGGATTGGGATTTGAATAGTAAAAATTTTGAATTTGAATAGTTGTATGATGTGATATAAATAGGGTTTGATGTGATGTTTTGAATGTAAAATTGATTTTTAGTATAATATAAAAAATGAAAAATAGGTGTTTGATTTGATGTTTTTGGGGAAAAAAATTGGATGAATAGTAGAAATCCTTCAAAATCCTTCGAACAAACACACCCCAAGAATATCTTCGTTTAGTTATTAGGTTCTGATTTTTTGGTTGAATATTTAATTTGATTGTGATATAATAATAATAATAATAATAATAATAATAATAATAATAATATATTTTTTATTTAATTCATGAAATACATGATAGTTAGTAGCCTAGCCACATACGGGCTCGGAGGATTTTCAGCCCCGGAGTCGCCGTTTCTATCATTACATCGATTGTATTGATGATTATATGATCGGTCTGTCCGATCGAATTCAATCAATTCTTACTAAAGTCTCTGCGCTCTTTTAAGTTATAGATACATATATCTATATATAACACGTAATTATTGTAATTCTGTAAAAAATAATAATAATAATAAATAAAGCTATTTCCATATCTATAAGAAGGAATCTATTTTCTATTTTTGTGTGTTTCAAAACAAGGATATCATTCTTAATTCAATAATTGTATTACATATATAACATAATAAATATTCTTCAACTTACAATATATTATACATATATTATTATTTTTATATCATATAATATTAATAGGGCATTTTGTCTTTTTTTTTTTTTTTTTTTTACTACAACCCAATACAATACTGATAGTAAAAAATCTACATAGAAAAAAAAAAAAAAAAGTAAACATTTATCTCTTTATGATGTAGAGGAAGTACTATTTCTTATAAAATTTAATATCCAACAAATATTAAATACAAAAATTAAAATCCAAAAAACAAAAACACAGACACATAACCTAACTCATCACATTTCTTGTTTCGACAGGACATTATGTTCCCCAATTAGCTCTAAAAATACAAGAATACAACAAGAAACATTCCCAAACATTCCTCAATCTCAAAGGATTTATCGTGAGTTGATTCAATTCTTCGATCTTTTCTTTTCTTTTTCTTATCATTCGGGCGAATGCCGAAACCCTAAACTCTTGGGCAGGTCGGGAACGCAGTCATGGACACTTACTACGACGGGCTAGGGACCGTCACATATTGGTGGAGCCATTCGATGATCTCCGACAAAACATACAAAACCCTCCTCAAACATTGCAAATTTGTGCCACAAGAAAGCTCGATAAAATGTGACAAGATCATGAACTATGCCATGAACCACGAATTTGGGAAGATCGATCAGTACAGCATCTATACACCTGTATGCAATAAGTCGAATAAAACCCTACGAGTTTCTACAACGCTCAAGAGCATTCTCATCGGGCGAAGATCATTTGGATATGATCCATGCACCGAGAGCTATGCCGAGAAGTATTACAATCGACCCGACGTGCAAAAAGCCCTCCATGCAAACCTAACAGGGATCCCATACAAATGGACAGCTTGTAGGTAAGCTAATTAATTTATTTAGTCAAGACTCGTTACAATGCGCGCTAAATTATCGAATCATAAGAGGAAGATTATGTATACGTATATATGCATATATATAGTGATGTTCTTCTAAGACATTGGAAGGATTCCGATGCCTCGATGTTGCCTACCTACAAGAAGCTTATCACTGCCGGGCTTCGAATATGGATATTCAGGTGCGCGCGATCTCTCTCTCTCTCTCTCTCTCTCTATATATATATATATATATATATATGTGGTTATTGATTCGATTCAATAATTTAAACTTTTTAAATAAGATGATATATTGATCTTCTTACAACCTAGGGTTTTAGATGGTAATGGCATTCTTTTTTAATATTGCATACTAATGTCCTTGTTTGTAGATATGTTTTGGTAGTAATTTGAGGTTTTTTAGATAATTTTGAGAATAATAATAGGAAGAAAAAAAAAAAAGAAATTGAATAAATAACATGTATATGTATGATATGAATAAGAGTTAAATAAAAATGGTTATATGTTAATTGTTGATCATGTGTTAACTTAGTATATGAATATATATTTTTATTGTGAGATTAATAATAGTATATGTTATATGAACTATTGTTATATTGTCTACTTATATGCTTCCATAAATTATATTAACATGTTGAATAATATCATTCAATAGATTAGATATGATATTTTGTATAAAAAAAATAATAATAAGCATTTTATGTACTATTTTATAAATTACATTGTTATCATCAAAAGTAACTTAAACTTAAATAGTGGTGATTTTTTTTTGGCTTTGGTTCAAATAATGAGTTGAATGTGAATACTTATGGCGATATCGATGTTTTCGATGCAGCGGAGACACGGACTCGGTGGTTCCGGTGACGGCGACGAGGTTTTCTTTAAGCCATCTAAAGCTCAAGATAAAAACTCCATGGTATCCATGGTACACTGGAGGACAGGTAATTATTAGAGATTTATGTAATTCATCAATATTATTTGTTTTATATATTCAATTACACAAAAATTTGACATATTTGTTCCAAGTATATAATTAATTAATTGATATATAAATAGGTTGGGGGGTGGAGTGAGGTGTATGAAGGAGTAACATTTGCAACAGTAAGAGGAGCTGGACATGAGGTTCCTTTGATTCAACCTAGGAGAGGATTTGTCCTCTTCAAGTCATTCTTGTCTGGAAAATATTTGCCAAATAAATAAATAAATAAAAATTCATATCGATCGAAGCTGGCACTAGATGAGAAGAACTAAGAATTCTCCAAAGTGATTATTATAGTTGATTTAGAGTTATAGGATCACATTATCATTCAATTTCCAACTGTATGTAATAATATATATATATATATATATTTCAAGTTCTTGAACGAACACATGCATGTACCCGGGTTGACGTGTTGATTAGAGTTAATCAGTACCATATTGATTAACGTTAATCAACAACTTCTCAAACCGTGATTTGAATTAAATTAGTATGCAATATTTGAACTGTTACTATATGTTTTCAATTCATATGATATATTTGCGTTGTATTATAATATAGTACATCGTTGTATTGAGACTAACAATGGTCTGAAATGACGATCATTTTATATTGTATGTGTTGAGTAACATTAATAAGCATCTTTGATTTCAACATATAGATATATTAACATAGCACAAACTAATAATATATATTGCTTGTTTTATTTTTATGTCGTGCATGTTCTATTTTCATATATAGGACTAATTAATCCTAAAATGATTAGTTTACTTAAAAATTTAGATTTGAAGGAAGTGAACATGTACTGCATACAAATTCTACATATGAACAACCATGAATATAAACAGTGAGACTCAGATATGAAAGCGTTCTAATTCTGAAATTACGTAAAATTTTTAGTAAAAAATAATATATTATTAATAAATAAATATATGGTCTATATATATAGACACAATATAAACTGATAAATTCATGTGTGTATAAGATGAATTTGTGAGTGAAGTGTGATGACCGATTAATCAACCAAATGGATATAAGCCCAAAACACAGTGCATTCCATATTTTTGAATCAGGATTGAATAATATTGTTAAAAATATATACATATATATATATATAATTTTTTTTAAAAAAAAAATGGAACGTGATCAAACCCCAAGAAACCCCAGAGCTTTTGTTAATGGTGTGTTCCCTGGATTCCCAACCCCACTTTTTTTATCCTGCAGTATGTTCACAGCCACAGCTGCCTCCCATTTGTGACCTGTATGTCGTCTCTCAATACTACAGCTTAATCCCTGTTAATGGGATCTGTCTGAATTAATTTGAGCCACGTTTGGTGAATATATGTATATAGATATATATAGGTGATCATATCATATCATATCGATTTAATTTAATTTAAATATGGGTTTTCTTTCCTGGCCCTAGCTAGCTCTTTCTGGGGTGGTGGTTCATTCTTGGACTCTTATGTCTGTCTCTGTGAAGTGATGGAATTGAAGAGTCCACTCCTAATTTTAATAAATAAAAAATTAATTAATATCAAAGATAAATGTATATACATATAAAATTTATTTGTGTGTGGGGGGAGTTAGGAATCAATTTCAAGTGATGTTGTTTACGTTAGGTATGAAATCAAGAATGGGGCTTTCATCGTCATCATTTCATCTCCATACATCTGTGGGAGTGATATTACCAAAATGACCCTACTGGAAGACCTGGTTCAAGAAAGTAGTGGGGAGGAAGGGAGATCAATGGTTCAGAATGTGTTATTGATTTGACCGAAATGCCCTCGTCCTCAGAACAGGGAAAGAATCTTTGACTGATTCGATAGTGGAAGAACATGGAAGATGATGACAGGCGGGGCAAAATGGACATTTCACCTGTTACCTTGGGTCCCTGCGGTGGTAATGGAATCGCCATCAAAGCGGCCATATGAGGAGGACCAAAGCCTAAAAACAAGCTACTACCAACAACTGCAACATCTGCTTTCTCACTCTACAAATACAGATATAGAGAGAGAAAGATTAAAAAAAAAAAGGCTGTGTCTTTCTCACTCTAGGAGGTGGGAGAAGAGTCCACCCCACCCAACCCTCTTCCCAATGGCCCAGCTGGACCGAAGAAGAAAAACCCAAAAAAGAAAATGGCTGCCGCGTTATTTTAGTGCGAGAAAAAAGAGGAACAAAACATGGAATCGAAGGAACAGGTCTCATCTCTACGTATGTATGTATCTATTTGTATCTATCTATCTATCAATGCCTTCAATTCGCTTCCAAATCAACCAGATAAATAAAAAACTCGTTTATATATATATATATATATTTTTGTTTTTTTTTCTTTTCTTGCCAGAATTGCCCCTTCTGCAACACGAAAAAAACCCTTCTTCATTCATCCCCATCATCAACAACAGCAGCTGCAACAACAACAACCACCAACAACAGCAACCTTTGTGTCTCTCCAAACGGCTATTATTATGTCTTTTCTATTTAATCCTTGCCCGAATTACGTGGGCTTGTTGGGGGTAACAAGAAAATTCAGAAAAGGAATTCCCACGCAGGTCAGGAAACAGCAAATCGAAGAAAGAAAGAAAGAAAGAAAGAAAGAAAGAAACTCTCTCTATCCATCTCCCCTCCCTATTTTCTCTCTCCCTCTCTTCTATCTATCTGTCGTATCTATCCCTTTTCTTGCCCTTTCTTTTAATGCCTTGCCCACCTCTCCTTTCGCACTCGTCTCTATCCCCACCCGCAATTGCCCTTTCCCTTCCCTTCCCGTCTCCTTCTCTTCTCCTCCCAAACTTTTTTCTTTTCTGTTAATCGCTGGGCGGGCGTTTTCAAGATCGGAGGGTTCTTTCGTTCTGTGATCTGATTTTGATTATGTCGAAGAAGAAGAGTAAAAGTGTGGCTTTTGATTCGACGACGCCTTCGTTTGGTGTTGGAGGGTGTGAAGGTTCTATATCCATGGCTTCCCTGAAGCATCAGTCTCTTATCCACGACTACGTCGAGTTGCAGAAGGTTTCCCCTTTTCCTTCCGTTCTAGGGTTTCTTTAATTTCTGCCCCTGTTTGGGGATCTGATGCTTTTACCCATCGATTCGATTGAATTATTGATTCAGTCTAATTACAGTCTGTTTATTTCCTTCGTGATTTCGATTAATTTATCGATGATTGGATTGATTGGTTAATTCCAATTTTGTGTCTTTCTTATGCTAATTGCCTCTTGTTAGATCTTAATCTCAGTTCACTGGAAAAATTAGTACTGTTCAGATCATTCGTGATTATATCAAATTCGATTGTTAAAGCTTTCGTTTTAGGGTTCTTATGGTGTTTTGTTAGTTAATTCTTGTTAGGCAATTGTGTAGACGATGATGTTCGATTTATGCACTCTTGTAGGAAGTCAGTGGTTTGAGAGGTTCATTGGATTCTGCTAAACAGAGGAAGCAGATTCTTGCCGCCGAAGTTCGGTATGATCGATAATTCGCTGCTTGTTCAATTTGTTTGTAAATAGTTTTATCTATGAATGGTATTTGGATAAATTGAATCGAATTGAATATGGTAGAATGTTGGATAGAATGATTTTGTTAATCGATTTTTATATAGGGACAAGCGATAATTCGATTGTTGTTCAATCCATTTTTGTAAGTAGTTTCATCGAGGAATGGTTTTTGGATTAATTGTTCGAATAGAATATGATAGAATGTTGGATGGAACAATTTGATAATGTATTGTTGTATAGGTACATCCAATAATTCGATTGTTGTTCAATTCGTTTCTGTAGATAGTTTTATCAAGGAATGGTATTTTGATGGATGTTTATGTAGGTACGATTGATAATTCGATTTTAGTTCAATCCGTTTCTGTAATAAGTTTTATTGAGGAACGGTATTTAGATGAATTGAATACGGTAGAAAGTTGGATAGATGATTTGCTAATGAATTGTTATATAGGTACGATTGATAATTCGATTGTCGTTCAATCCGATTCTGCAAATAGTTTTATGTATTTGGATGAATCGAATCAAATAGAATACGGTAGAATGTTGGATGGAACGTTTCGTTAATGGATCGTTATGTATGTACGATCGATAATTCGATTGTTGTTCAATCCAAATAGTATTTGGATGAATCGAATCAAATTGAATACGGTAGAATGTTGGATAGAATGATTCGTTAACAATTGTTATGTAGGTATGATCGATAATTCGATTGTTGTTCAATCCATCTCCGTAAATAGTTTTATCAAACCAATGGTATTTGGATAAATCAAATCGAATCGAATAAAATACAATAGAAATTTGAATAGTTTGAATCATTCTTAAATATATTGTTATGTAGAAGGGCATGTGTTTGTGTTAATTCCGATTGTTTGCGCTCACTAGTCTCCCGTCGCATTCCTCAGATTTCTCCGTGAAAGGCACAGACAACTTTCCGAAACAAAGAATTTGACCGTGACGCACGAACACATCGCGCCATTGCCAAAGCGAACCAAAAAGCCGAAAGATCAAATTCTCCGCGTAAAAGAGTCGAGACGGAATGGTTTGCCTCCAGCTCTGGAACAACCGAAGCCCAAGAAGAAACAAAGCATCGGTAAACAAGTAGCTACGTGCGACACTTCCGTAGAGAACATTCGGGCAATCAAGAAAACGACGTATAATGAAAAAGACCCTCCGACGAATATCTTCGCCACTACGATTTTCAACAAGGACCTGAAAGAAAGAACGTTCGGCGCTATCGATTTTCCAATTTGCGCTTTCGATTTAAACCACGATAGCCTTAGCCAAACCCATCCCGGCACTTTTTTCCCCCGAGCACCAATATTCGACTTGAACCAAGTCTCGGTAAGTTTTCGCATTTTGCTGCAAATTCGTCGTCTCTTCAAAAATATACCTCAATCGATTAACTTTCTTTTCGATTTTTCTAAATATTATCAGACGGGAGAAGAAGACTTCTCGAGCAATGGCGAAGCAGCGAAGTTCGACCCACAGACCGATTTGAAGCTTTCCATTTGTCGAAATTCCGGCGAAGGTTCTTCCCGCGTGGGTAAGCGAAAGATCTCTTGGCAGGATCCAGTTGCGTTGAGAGTTTGATGCTCGGATTATCGGTAACTTTACAAATTTCTTTATGTGGCGAGAAAGTGGGAGGGAGATAGTTTTTCGACTATACGTGATCTATGAGACTGGAAAATTGATTGCTTACGATGAGTAATCGACAATGTGATACTTAATTTGTTAGAATGCTTATAGCTTCATTTGATTATTCGATTCTAACGATGTCGATTTTAGAATTTGTCGATATTTTAGTCTTCCGGTGATTGGAGATGTGCTCGAACGTCATCGATTCTTTTTTACTTGTGTATAAATGCCGGAAATTTGAACATTGTAGCTGTCTCTTCGAATAGTATACTCGGTTTTCAGTTTTTATTCAGTTTTTTACTACTATCTCCGTCCACTATCAATTTATCCATTTACTTTTTGTATGTTAATTTTTTAATACTCCATCCGTCTCATAACTACGTATTCATCTGTTTTTTGCACGGAGTTTTAGAAATATTAGTATTATATTGAGATGTAGTAGGAATAAAATAGAAATGACTAAAATAACCTTATTAGTATTGTTTGATATAAATGTAATGACATTTGTGTAATATATTGTAAGTTGTATAGGTATTTGTAATGTTAGGTAGATAGTACAGTTACTAAAAAAAGAAATAAATACTTTGTTATGGGACAGATTAATACGAAAAAATGAATAATTTGTATGGATAATTTGTTAGAGAACGGATGGAGTATTAATTATTATATCAAAACGTAGTACAAATTAAGAAAAAACGATAAAAATACTTCATATCGGTGTCTAAAATTATACAAAGCATTTAAAACAATGATCTTAAATACAAATTGATAGATCAGTGGATAGTAGTATTTATATTTATATCAAACTACTATATAAACATACCTAAATCAATATTTTAGGTATATCAATATTCTGATATACCTAAAAAGATTTCAACACATCCAAACAAACATACCCCTTAAAAAAAAAGAATGTATTATGTAACAAACATTACAAACAAATTTTAATCTATAATTATTTCACTAATACAGTTTTTAAGTACTCGTGCTGACAAAAAAGTTGGGACATTGGGAGTATAGTTTTTTAATTATAGTAAACAATTTAAAAATATTAAATATAATTTATATATTTTAGAGTTACATTTAAATTATAATTTTTTTTTTAAATTATATATATAATTAAAATAGGATTTTAACATTACAATTTACCAAACTCAATGAATACATTTTTAATTATACTAGATATTTAAATTTTTTAAAATATGATTAATAAAAAAAAAATCAATTATGAAAAACATATATTTCAATTAAAAGCATACTTTTGATAGTTTTAAAACACTTAAAATTTTATTACTCCCTCCGGTTTTTAATAATTTATCCATTTTTTCATTTTGGTCCGTCTCATAACAAAATATTCATTTCCTTTTTTTTAAATAATTGTACTATCTACCTAATATTATAAATACCCTTCCAAATTATAATATATTACACAAATGTCATTACGTTTACATCATACAATATTAATAGGGTTAATTTAGTATTTTTACCTTTATTTCTATTTTATCTTAATATTTCTAAAACTCCCTTAAAAAAAAAAAGAAATGGACAATTTTGAATTGAATTTAAGGCTAGAAATCGCCTGCTTCAAATTTAAATTTTATTTTTGTGTATATATATATATCACTTTATTTATGTAACTATTAAATTATTGTCACGAAAATGGTGTTATTTAAATTTATTACGCATAGCGGAAATATACCATGTTGTCCCAATCAAACTTTTATTTCTCAGCTACAAAAGTAGTGCCATTCCGAATTGGTTTGAATCTAAAATATTTTAGTGTGTTTGTTTCGGCATTTTGATTTTGACTTTAGGTTTGAGTTGTTGATTTAATATTTTAAATTAATTTTTTTATATATTATAAATATTAAAAATATATATATATATATTTAATTTGATATTTTTTTATTGAAATTTCAAAAGAATAGTCCATTAGACACTATTGTCAAGTTTTCTTGATGTCCAATGATCTATATATATATATATATATACATATTTTTAAATCAATAAATATTGAAAAAAAAATAGAGATCACGTATTAGTAACAATAATAATAATAATTTGTAAGCTATTACGTATTATTAAAAAATTATTTAAAACGCATTCGAAAAACAACCATCGTCGATATGAATAAATATATAAAATGTCTATAGTTTACAGGATATTAAGTTCGGTCAAGAGTTTATCCAGTGCGCACTTTCGGATAGCTACTGCGAGTTCCCATGTAATCAAAATATATATATATATAATTTCTAGATTTCTTTTCAGCACATCAAATTCGAATTGTAAACACAATTTTCATTATATCAACACGAAATAGACACCTCACTTTGTATCATCATAATCATCTCTTTATTTACTTTTCCCCATTCCTTCAACTACTTAATAATCACACAGAACATACATTATGATGTCACGTGGTTTATGTAATTTGTTTTATCGAGTTTAGTTTGCAGAAATATTAAATTTACTCGGAATTTATCCAATTATAAGTAAAAAAAAAAAAAATCTTAAAAATAGTTTGATTTCAAACTCCCGATGCCTCCGGCATGATGTAATTAACTGGAATACCATGCTTGAGACCAAAGTTAATCCCAACACCCACAAAAGCAGCTACTCTCTCTCTCTCTCTCTCTCTCTCTCTCTCTCTCTCGCTAACTCAATGTATGTATAGATAGAAGTGCAGTCTAGCTTCATCTCAAAGGAACTGTCCTAAAAGCCACATGAGTGGGGCAACAAGAAGAAATGACATTAGTGTTTGTGATGATGAGGCCAGAAGAACAACAACAAGAAGAAGAATAATGAGGACAACAAGTGGAATCAAACACAAGAATTTTCAAGAAACTGGTGCAAGAGCAAAAACTTCTTGCAGTTTGGGGGAGTATGAAGATGATGATCATTCAAGGATCATCAATGGCAGTACAAGAAGATCTGATAATAATAATGATCCAAATGGGATGAGGAAGAAGAACAAGATTGGTAATAAATTGGAGTGCAAGAACCCGACAACCATTCTTTCTTCTAATGGGAATGTGATCAAGAGAAGAGCATCAATGCCAATGGGAATTGGGATTGAAAAACCCCATTCTTATTCTTATTCTTCATTCAAGTTGAGGAAACTGAAATCTTCTGGCCCAATTAGGGATCTTCTTCTTCTTGACCAAATCGAAATCGAAGCCCATTTAAGTGAGGATGTTGAGCCCATTGCCAACCCTTCAGCAGATGGGATTCAAAGTTTTGCAGCATCTTCTAACGAGGTGTGTGTCTATCAAGAAATCAAGAATGGTTATGATGATGAGGCTGAGAATCAAGAAGAGTATGAACCCACAATTACAATCCACCCAAATCAATCAGGTAAGTTTTCATTTCTTGTTGAATTCATAAATATTAGATTACATCATATTTATGACATAACAGGGCATGGAAAGAAGCTTCAAAATCTGATAATGTGGAAAGATCCATCAAAATCAGCACTTGTCTTTGGAATTGGGGCATTTGCATTTGCTGCTGTTTCCTCTTCTTCTTCTTCTTCCCACACTTGGGATTTAAACATTAGGTCAAAATCCCATTTCATATCTATATAAATTTTTGATTAATTTCTGAATCTAATTTTTTATAATGTTCTTGAATCAACAATGGCAGCTTTCTTTCTGTGGTTTCCTACTCAGCCCTTTTGTATCTTGCTGCTGTTTTCCTCTTCAAATCATACATTTCCAGGTAACCAATCAATCAATCATTCATTCTTCTAAAAATCTTTTCTTTCTTTTCTTTTTTTTGTTTTTTTTTTTTCTGTAAAACTTTATACAGAGAATAAATAAATTTTTTCTGCAGGGAAAGTGGTGAGAAGAGACAGAGGTGTTTAAGTGTTGTTGGGGAAGAAGAAGCCATTTGGATAATGAAATTGAGTTTGCCTTATGTGAATGAGGTTCTTCTCCATTTTAGAGCCCTCTTTTCTGGACAAGATCCTGTCATCACCATCAAGGCAATTCCCAATTTCCATTTATTCATTTATATATACATATATATATATATTAATTTATAGTATTGCAGTTGGCTATGGTTTTGTTCGTATTGGCAAGATTTGGAGGATCCATTTGTATTTGGAATATGGCCAAGCTAGGTTTGCTGTCCTAACCTTTGTTCTCTCTTTTTCTAAATCTGTTCATATATGATTCTTGCACATTATGAAATTTTAAACATTTATAAAATAATAAAAAAGTTAAATATTCAATATAATATTTTATAAAAAATAATTATTTAAAAATGTCAGTAGGGACGAAATAATTTATAAGCGTAAGTAACCGGAGCTACAGTTTACAGATGCAATTTTAGAGAAAAAAAAAATTATTGATATAAAATTTTGAATTAAAAATAATTATTTAATTTGATATTTTGAATAAAAAATAATTTTTAATATAATATAATAAATATTATTTCATATGTTATTTGCTTAAAATTAATAATAATAATAAAATCATGATGAAGATATCACAAGTAGTGAACACACATAAAAACTTAGGTGTCAATTAAATAAGATACAGTATTCTCGTGAATATAGTTGTATTTATTTTATTGAAAGTGACACGTAAGCTTCGTGGATTATACGCACTTCAAAGAGACGTCCGAATATAGGGTGTGTTTGTTTGAAGGATTTTGGTGGATTTCTACTATTCATCTAATTTTTTTTTCATAAATATTAAATCAAACACCTATTTTTCATTTTTTATATTATATTAAAAATCAATTTTACATTCAAAACATCACATCAAACCCTATTTATATTACATCATACAACTATTCAAATTCAAAATTTTTACTATTCAAATCCCAACTCAAAATCCAAACCCCAAACAAGCACACCCTAAGGGTGTATAGAAGGCCATTAATAGAAGGCCATATACCCAATATTTTTTTGTGGCATATATTTATATTAATATAGTATATAATATATATTTTATTTATTTGTAAAAAATTAATAATTCACAAAAATATATATATTAATTTGTATATTATCGATATAATTTTTATATTTAATATAAAAAGGAATTGATAAATCCAATAGTTGACTTTATATGGTGATTGTTTAGATAAGAGGTTTTTGGAGGTTTTTGGGAATTTGGAAATTTGAAAAAAAAAAAATTAGTATTTGATTTGATGTTTTGTAAAAAAAAAATTATTTGATACAATATTTTTTAAAAAATTAATAGTATCAGAAGAAGTGAAAGTGTGTTGTGTAAACCTAGCGTATTTATGGTGGCAGGATTTGTTGGAATATTTACAGTGCCAAAAGCCTACTCAGTCTACTCGCCTCACTTAATTTCATTCGGTAATACTTCTAATTTACCCTTTCTATTTTTTTTGTCTTTTACTTGTATTTTTATTTATTATGTTTTTTAAAAATATATATATTTATATAATCAAATTAAAAATACTTTGTTTGATATAATACGTTTTAAAATTTAATAGTAGCAAAAATAAAAGAAAACACGTGTACAAAAAAACAATCTTTTAAAAGAAAAATTAGTCACTCCATTTTAAAATCCTTAATTATCTCTCATTCGTATTTTTATTTTATTTTTATATGATCATTGGAATAATATTAAATAAAGAATATATATATATATATTTATTTCATTGTAAATTATAGGGTCCAAAAATAAAATGAAAACCAGACACACCCCAATCAATATCAAGGGTAAATTAATATTGGGCTTAAATTATTTTTGGGCTTATTTATTATGGGCCTTAAATATACACATACCAACTTTATTTTATTTGTTATATATATATATATATATATACACAACAAAATGTTGCTAACAAAAATGTGTTGGGTTTGGTTTGGGTTTCAAACTTAAATCAATATTACTATTCACTCACACGGTTTTATGTAATTTATTTTTTTTATAAAATATTACATCATATACTCCCTCTGTCATCCAATTGGGTGCTCGTTTAATCGAGCACGGGTTTTAAGAAAAATATGTAATAATAGAATTTTTTTTTTTTTAAAGAAAAATAGTATTTTTTTTACTAAAAAATGGGAATAAATTTAGATGACAACCAAAAAAGAAAAGTGAGAATAGATTTAAATGACGGAAAGAGTACTATTTAAATTAAAATTTAAATCAAATATACAATTTCAAATCAAAATCAAACAAACTTATACTCCTATTCATATAAGAGTATATTTACTAAATGTCTTATAAAAGTAGTATATATGTCGTAAAATGAAATAGTATCATATTAGTAATTTTAGTGAAGCGTAGGTATATTTTATTTTTGTGGGAAGACTATATCGACTAAATTAAGAATTTGATATATTGGTTAGGGATAGAGAAAAAGTAATATAGATACAGTGAAGACGACGATGTATAATTTTTGTTTATTTCAATTTATTTGTAAGGTATATATTGGGTCAAAAAAATCATGGATGTTTGGAAGTCATGTCGTCACAAGAAAGCCATTGGAGTCTTGGCATTGAGTGTTATTTGGAATGTATGCTCGACCATTGTTCGAATTTGGACATTGTTCGTACTATTTGTTGCATTCAAATGTTATCAACGGTCTTTCTTCTCGCAATCTACGTAATACAAGTGTTGGTTGTACATTGTTGGATCAATGGTAGAATGTACATAACAATATTTCAATTTGGTTGAAAATATTTGTGTGAATATTTATGTGAATATTACAATTTTAAATTTTAATTTTTTTTTTTTTTCTTGGGGTTGATTTAATCTGATTAGATGTGTTATTTTACACATATAAGAATTAGAAATTGGTAGTTATTGTTATGATATAGGTGTGTGTTATCAATGGAATTTTTTTTAGGATTTATTGAGAATTTGTATGGTACTATTTTAAAGATTTTTATGAATTTGTTTTCTTAGATTTTTTTTTTTTAATATATAATATTAATATTATATAACAATATATTATTTCATTTTATAAAATAGAAAATCCAACCCACTAAAATAAATAAATAAAATAAAATAAAATTACCATATAAATGTACTCAAAATATTTCAATTAATTGACCATTTATATGTAATTCAAAGGGTATAATCATATAAGATTTGGAGTATACTTTCAGATAATTAAAAAGATAATTTATTTTATATAAACAATGGTTTATGTGCTGATAAATCTCAATCATTGAAAGTTGTATACATATTTATTTATTAGATAGATCATAGATGGAGAAAATAAAATAGAATAATTTAAAGAAATTTGATTGTGAAAAATTTGACGTCTTTAATTATTATTTCATTATATAAAATTATTGTGGGTTCTTTATTTTAAAACAAAAAGTGGTATTTGTTTATTTGCAATCATGAAATGTTTTGAAACTTTTAGTAGCTTTATTTATCATCTTAATGTATTATTGATTAAGGTATAATGTTAATAATATTATGAAAGATACAATAATACAAATTAGTTTGTGTTAGACATATACATGCTTTATATAAATAAATAGGTTGTGGATCCGAGTGTAGATACAATCAAATCAGTATAACGCTGATTTGATCATGTCATCATATCACATAAATATAATCAGTATATATTATATACTATCATAACATATTTATGATGCAGTATATGTTATGTAATAACTATATTTTATAACCCTGTGTTATGCAAAAATATATATTGTATGCTTTGATGGTATACGTTGTTTGAGTCAAATAAGCACAGCACCTAATCCGCGCCCAAATAAATAAGGTATGTATAAATATGAATTTCCTAAATGCTAGTCGTCAACCGTTATTGATGAATAATATACTGCTGATAAGATTTTAATATATATTTTATTTTCATCAAAATGTATTAATTTTATATATTACAAAAATGTTGTTATTTATATTAAATTTAATTATATATCACAAAATAAATAGGTGTAAAATTATCTTTTTCTTTTTTTGTTTTACTATATACAAATATAATACTAATAAAAAATAATAATTACATTGATATGAAACATATTGAATATACTTTTCATGAAAAACTATAGTATAATACGTCAATGAATTCGATGGATTTATTCTTTTTTAAAAACCATTCTCAATATAAAAATATATATATTCATAATTTTTAATTTTTTTATAAAAAAACTAATTATCTATCATGCATGATTTTAAAAATAATAAATAAATTATTTATTCAAATAATTTCATAAATTTCCAAAATTTCTTTCATATTTTCCAATAAAACTAACTTTTAAAAAAAAATCACATAAATTAAATATATACAAGCATAGACAAGTCAATGACAAACAACAAACATTATCAACCAACCCTTTTATCAAGATAATATTCTTTACTATAATAATTCATTCAAAAAGTAATCTTATTTTTATTTTTATTTTTCTTGGAACAAAATGATAATAATATTATCAATAAACTATACAAGATTCCTTCTATTTTGTCATGACTATAACAAAATTGTTTCTTGATTTGATGTAAATAATTATTAATGTAATATCTTCAAAATTAATAAAAAAATAATAATAAATAAAAGGTGTGAGACCAAAATCTAAATAACACACTACCACTCATATTGATATTAGTTTAAGTATGTTTATTTGTATTTTAAGGTCACTACAACAAAAAATTATTTTTGTAACATAATTTTGTTTGTCTCTAAATTTACTTTTTCCGTTATTAATGACATTAGAAACGGAATTATAAATGGAATTACGTTAGCTATGTGAACATTATGAACGGAATTTCGTTACAAATATATTATTTTCTTTTTGTACTGGTTTAATTTGGATGGATTCGATGATAGTAAATAAATTTTTATTGCGGTATTTGATTTAATAGTTTTAATAGAAAATAATAATAATATATATATATATATTACTATAACATTTGTTATATGGTTTGTTCTTTGAATAATTATTTTAATTTTCCGATGAAAATATGTTATTTGTCTTTTTCTAACAAGAATATTATTTTATTTTATAAAATATCTAAAAGGATTGAAATTATTTCACCTAAATATTATATTCTTTAAAATATATACTATCACAAATTTTAATATTTACTAACAAAAATTCTAAAATAAGCAAAACACTAAAAGAATAAATCTCAAAGTTTAAGAGGGTGTTTATTTTTAGCTTATTAAATAGTTTTTAACCGTCCGATAACTATTTTTAATATTTGATAAATTAAAATTTTTAAAAAGTTTATCGAGTTTTAAAAACTAATTTTATACCCTAGCCTTTCATAACAATGTTTTGGTTTTATTTCTTTTTATCCATAATTTATCTTTATATATTAATCTCTTGTTCACACATATATATTAATATATTTTTATTATACTATTATTTATTAGTTATGTTAATATATTTTATTTCATTAAGTTATCATATGTTTATAAATTTAAAATAATTGAAATAATAATTATTTATATTTAAAATAATTAATTTTGTTAAAATAAATGCAAAATAGAAAATGTTAATATTATTAATTTATTTATAAATTTTTTATTAAAAATACTTTCTTTTATTAACCTCAAAAATTGTTTCGAAATCAATTCTAAAACTACAAAATATATATATATATATATAATATAAAATTAATTAATTTTGTTTCGGATTTTTCAAACTATATTAAATATATATTTTATTATTGTGAAAAGTTTCAAAATTTTGAACTTATTTTAAATAGTTTAAAAAATTTCAAACCCCTATTAATTTCAAAAAATTTCAAACCTATATTACTTTCAGAAATTCCGAAACTAAATTGTCTTCGAGACTTACCCAAACCATATAATATAAAAATATATATATAGCTTTATAATAAATTAGGATCCTACAGTTTTACTTTTACATCATTTACCGCAAGTCAAATAATAATAATAATAATAATAATAATAATAATAATAATAATAATAATAATAATAATAATAAATCTAGTATTAGCTTAATTATAATAAATAATCATATGTTTTATAATTAAATGATTGCACCGACGTAAAACGTGCAACCCCACTAATTTAATAATAATAATAATAATAATAATAATACTTGATCATTTACAAACATGATTGATCCGTCCGTATTCGTACGTCCGTCCGTCCTATTATGTCCAGTCTTCATTGTAATAATAACAATAATTTATTACTAAAATTTTGATCGTACGACGGTTAGATAAAAATATACGAATATTTATACTTTCTCAGTCCTAAAACTATAGTTTTAATTGAATTGAGCATAAGATTTAAGTAATATTGGTATTATATTGATAGTTATTAAAAAGTATAGATAAAAGACATTTTTGTCCCTGTAGGTGTATTAGTGTAAAAAGTAGTGGCAATTGTCTAATAAAAATGAAAAAATAAGGATAATTTTATGGTGATATGATTATTTATGAAAATAAGACTATTATTTTGGGACGGACAAAAATGATAAACAAAACTATTGTATTGAGACGGATGAAGTATATTTTAATTTGAAAGGAGTAGAAATTAATTGTGTTTGGATTGAGTTTCAAATTCAAATCAATAGTTTCGGGGATTATGGCTAAAAACCTAATGTTATTATTTTTTAATAAAATATTATTTAAATAAAAAATTAAATCAAAATTCTCAATCGAATAAAAATCAAACAAACTCTTTGTATTTTTATTTATTTATTTTTCTATTTGTAAATTTTCTTCTTTTATCCTTTATTATAAAAAAATATTAATAATACCAAAATTATCTTAAAGACAAACATGCTAGTTTAAGCAAGGAGGGTCTTAATGATAGTTTGAATTGTGATCTTTTAAAAAATATAATAATAATTCTAAGGATCTCGTTTATTTTTTATGCGATCTTTGAATATTAATTATTATGTCAATACGTAGTAAAAATTAAGAAAAAACTACAAAATATCTACATTAGTGTCTTATAATATTAATCGAATGACATTTGTACAAAAAAAACTATACAAATATAAGGATATTTTTAATATTAAATACAATGACGCAAAAGGTCAATGTGATCCTTAGAAGCGGACGGAAGGAATATATTTTTATAAAAATAATTTATGATGATTGCAATATTAAAAGATAAAATAAAATAAAATAAAAAATTGAAAAAGAACACATCCATTTATATAATATGTCATATCTTGACGGGTTTTTAATGTTTATCGGTATTTGGAATGAAGATGAGTCGAATATACTACTATAGCTAGGGTTTAGTTATATCCGACATTTTTTCTTACGTATGTATGAGATTATCGCATCATGGGGAGATGAATTAATTAGGTTGTAATATCTCAACATGGTATGTTTGTGAATGCATTCCATGTGGGAAGATCGCGTAAAGAAGAAGTTATATCAGTGTTGTAGTTCCCGGAAAATCTCCAAGAACGATACATATGTGTAGTATATTTATCGGACATCTATCCGTTTTGTAAGATATACAACTAACTAGTTGCCATACTTAGTTTGTTAGTTACAAACTCTATGTATGTGTATGGTTTTTCGAAAGCTTTTCGAAACGAAAATTCAATTTATTTAGATCTTTTGTTGGTAGCAGAAAATAGAGCAATATATTATTATTATTATTAAAAATAATAATTTTTATTTGAATAATAATTTGAAACATAATAAAAAATATATATATAATATGTTTTTATAAAAAATCTAAAGAAAAACTAAAATCAAATACACAAAAGAGTATAATTTTCAAAATATTTTAACAACAATTTTAATTTATCTTTAATTGAATATATTACACTATCTTCGTCCCAAATCAAATGACTATTTGGAGTTTTGTACGTAGATTAAGAAATAATAATATTTTATGAGTTAGTAAAAGTGTGTAAGGATTTTAAATATTTTTGTCATTTCACTTTATGTATAAATAATTGTATATGTAATGATATAATGATATTTTATTATTAGTGTATGATTATTTTTTCTAAATCAGAAAGAAAATGATTTGAAGTGAAAATTAAAAACGGTAAAAAAATATATTTTGAATTAGAACAGAATGAGTATTGTTTATTTTACATCATCGACAAATCATTATACGCTCAAAAATCATTAAAAGTAGTCTCATAAGGGATGACCTGGTGGTGTAGAAGCAGGACTTATGACTTCAAGGTCATAAGTTCAAACCCCCGTCTCAGGTCACCTGTGCACTTTCGGTTTCCATCATTAAATATTTTTATTTTTATTTTTCAAATTTTCAAAATTTTTTTAATATGCTATTTAAACGAAGTTTATCCTTTATTAATTTTTGTTTCTTTTTCATAATATTTATGATTGCTTATTTCTTACTCAATTAATTTTGTTTTTCATTAAAAATACATACTTTATATTTTTTATTTATATTGTTAATAAAAATGTATGATTTATTAAAATATTATAGTTAACATTTACTTATATTTTATATATTGAAATTTAAATTTGGAAAATTTTGAACCACACCACAACCAACATATCTTAACATGAGCGTAGCAGCTGATGCGAAATTATTGAAGAACGTGACCAGAAACTGGGTAACACCTAGGGAAGGTTCAATTTTCCTAAATTAGAAATTATCATTGCAAATTAAATAAATTTATTTCTGCCTAACTCTCTCTACACATAACATGCCATTGCCAGCAGCGGATATTTTTAAATAGGAAAAATATTATTTTTGGATCTAATATAACCAAAATTCTTCAATTGTGGTCCCAATATAAAAATCTTATCAATTTTGATTCTAATATAAACAAAACTCATCATTTTTTGTCATAATATAAATTTTTTTTATCAATTTTAGTTCAAATATAACCAAAACTTATCATTTTTTGTCCCAATATAATCAAACGTTATTTTTTTTTGTTCCAATATAATTAAACCTTAACTTTTTTTTATCTCACATCGTCAAAAAATCGACGGAAAATGCTGACGTGAAAATAAATCAAACCTTATATTTATATTTGAAAAAATTGCACAATCTTGCAGCATTTTCCATCGGTTTGTTGACGGTCCAAAAAAAATAAGATTTGATTATATTGAGACAAAAAATGATGAATTTTGTTACATTGGGAATAAAATTGATAAAAAAAATTTATATTTGGACAAAAAATGATAAGTTTTGGTTATATTGAAATCAAAATTGATAAGATTTTTATATGAGACCAAAATTGATAAATTTTGATTATATTAGAACCAAAAATAATTTTTTCCCTTTTAAATAATTATCTACACACAAAATACATTTTAATTTGGAATAAAAAAAAATAAAATTAATTGTGTGTCCAAATAAACACCATCTCATAAATATAGACACACGTTTTATTTAGTATTTGATAAGATTTATTTTTAAATAAAATAAATATTTTAACGTACTATTTTAAAATATTAATATTGATTAATAGTACTAAAAATTTAAAGTATATGTCAAAAGTGCTTAAATTTTATTTGTCACAAGATTCAATTTCATTCAATTGTGCTGACGTGTCCCGATTATTGTCATTTTGTCGTACATTGAATTGGATTGCTTAATTAGCCTAATAGGACATAATTAATCTGTCGCTTTCTAAATTAAAATAAAGCACGTAATTGAATCCAATTTTCTGACTAGACTCGATAAAGTTTAAGATATTAGTCTACTTCCTCACCCTTCTCAATACAATTGTATTATTTATTATTTTTGTCTATTTTAAAATAATAATATTATTTTTATAAATAATTATATCATTGTAAAACTACTCTTATTCTTTCATTATTATTACACAATTATCACTATTTTTTACATTAATACACTTACAAGGACAAAAAAATATTTTATCTATATTTTTTATCCACTGTGTCAAACACAACTAAGACTATAGTTCTCGAACTGAAGAAATATAATATACATCTTATTTGTAATTTGTATATATATTTTTATACTACTATGCATCAATAATAACATTTTAAAAATATTAATTTAAATATATATTTCATAAATATTACTCCATTTGTCCCTTATAAGTATATTTGTAGACAAGTGAATTTAAAATAAATATAATTAGTAGATAATTAAAAATATATTAGTAAAAATAATTATTTTTATTTTATTTAATTTAAATTAAAAAAATTAAATTAAAAAAATTAAAATAAAATTAAAATATGTAATAATTATTTTTTTTTTTAAAAAAATGAGATAAGATATGGAAAGGACTGACAATATGATCACAATAGATACGAGGGAATGAGTATTATAGTACTCCTTCCATCCCACCTACTATGTCCACATTGTTGTTTCCGTCCGTCTCACATCCCATTTCACTTTCTTTTTTGGAGAATAATTATACACTTTAATTTTATTTTAATTTTTCTAATTTATTTTTTTTAAATTTTAATTAAACTAATTAGTTATCTTAAATCTTAATTTATAATTATTTATATTATAAAATAATTATTTTTACTAATACATTCTTAATTATCTACTAATTATACTTATCATAAATTCTCGTATTTGACCCAGACATCCAACATAGGACGGAGTATTAAATTATCTTCCGTCCACCGCCAATCTATCCATTTTTTTATTTTAGTATGTCATCGCAAATGTATCAAATTTTTTTTTTTAAAGTAAATATACATTCCACTAAAATAGAAAATTACTCCATCCTTTATATAATATTACACAAATGCTATTAAATAACCACTTAATATCATAAATGTTAAGGAGTATAATACTCTTTATATATATCAATTGTACCATATAGTACTAAAATCTACGTGCAAAGAATAAACGGATAGATACGTGGTAGACGAAGGGAGTATTAAAATTTTTACTATTAGTTTTAGAATTTCTCTATATATATTTACGTAATGAATCTACTCTAGTAAAAGGGGAGGAGCTACTTCATCCAGTTCTACATAATGAGCAATTACTTCATCCGTCCTATATAATTTTTTTTTTTTTTTTTCGTTCATTTTATATAGTTATTTTTTTTAAAAAAAAATATAATTATATACATTAATCACATTTTTTATTTTAAATTTTAAATTTTTTTAATTTTAATTAAATTATTTAATTATTTTAATTTTAATTTATAATTAATTTTATTAATATATTTTTTAATTATATTTTATCTAAATTGTAGCATCTATTATATGGGACAAATGGAGTAATATAGAAAAGAAAATGAAAATTTTAGAATAGTTTTCTTATTACCAGGGCACCCAGACGCAGTAAACATGGCGGTTTCAGTTTTGGTAATAAAATCACGACACGTGTCCGATAAGACCAAAGTACACTCGCAGCCGTCGGATTGAAATTGGGGGCGGGGATGGTGGAATGGCATATACACCCCAAAATCGGATATGTATATAAACCCTCCTCTGCGGAGTGATGGAACCAAACGTAACTGTGTAACTTTCGCTGTTCAATTCCCTACGAATCGATGTTCCCTTTTTTTGATTTGATTTGATTTGATTTGACGACGAGAGCGGAGAGGACCCCCGCCAGGGAATGCAGAAAGATGATCGGAACGCCGGATTCTAACCGTCGTTCGGGCGGCGGGAGGATAAAAAAGCCACGCGGTCGCCGCCGCGATTGCCACCGGAAGCACGTGGAGGACGGGTGAAATCGGCGGTGTTTCCGATTGCAGTCGGCGCGTAAGTTTGCTCCTCCTTCTTCATTAGCTTTAGAGAGATCTGAGACGAACGGATTTGAAATTTTGTTAATCGATGGGGGTGAGATCTGAAGAGAAAAAGTGTGGAGGCGTGTTGCACGGGAAGTATGAATTTGGGCGGTTATTAGGTTATGGAACTTTCGCGAAGGTTTACCTTGCGAGGAATGTACGGACGGGGAGGAACTCGGCGATGAAGGTTGTTGATAAGGAGAAGGTGATCCGCGCGGGGATGATGGAGCAGATGAAGCGCGAGATCTCGGTGATGCGGATGGTGCACCATCCGAACGTCGTCGAGCTCCACGAGGTTATGGCGAGCAAGTCGAAGATCTATCTCGCCATGGAATTCGTCCGCGGCGGGGAGCTGTTCGCCAGAGCTTCCAGAGGACCGATGCGCGAGGATTCTGCGCGGAACTACTTCCAGCAGTTGATCTCCGCCGTCGATTTCTGCCACAGCCGCGGTGTTTACCACCGCGATCTGAAGCCGGAGAATCTGCTGCTCGATGTGGAAGGTAATTTGAAAGTTGCGGATTTCGGTTTGAGTGCGCTCTCCGATCATCTCCGGCAGGACGGACTGCTGCACACGGCGTGCGGAACGCCGGCGTACGTCGCGCCGGAGGTGATCGGGAGGAAAGGCTACGACGGCGCGAAGGCCGACGTGTGGTCCTGCGGCGTAATTCTGTTCGTTCTTCTCGCCGGATATTTACCTTTTCACGACACTAACGTCATTTCCATGTACCGGAAGATCCACCGCGGCGATTTCAAGTGTCCGCCGTGGCTCTCGCCGGAGTCGCGGCGGTTGATCACCAGAATGCTGGATCCTAATCCGAGCACGCGGATAAGCACAGAGCAAATCATGGATTCGTCGTGGTTCAACAAATCGGCGCCGAGGAAGAAGACGATGGCGACGGCGAAGGAATATCCGCCGGAGTTCGAAAGCAACGAAACGGAAACGCTAAATGCCTTCCACATCATCTCATTATCCGAAGGATTTGATCTCTCGCCGCTGTTCGAGGAGAAGAAGATGGAGCGAGAGGAGCTCCGATTTGCGACGACGATGCCGGCGAACAGTGTGGTTTCGAAGATCGAGGAGGTCGCGAAGACGAAGGACTTCGCCGTGAAGAAGACGGAAACTTGCGTGAGGTTAGTTAGGGCGGAGAGTGGGAGGAAAGAGAGGTTGGAAATTGCGGTGGATATCTTCACGGTGGCGCCGTCGTTTCTGGTGGTGGAGGTGAAGATTTGCGTCGGCGACACGGTGGAGTACAGCCAGTTCTGCCGGAAACATCTCCGGCCGGCGCTTAAAGACGTTGTATGGAGCTCGGCGACGGCGGGGGGAGTTGAATCGGAAAATTGACGGCGGCGAGATATTTTCGTAATTTTGATATTTAATATTGTTTGTAATTTTATATTAATATTGTTTAGAAATTTTGTAATAAAATTCTTGGTTATGTAATGTGTGCCTTCTGGGAGTGCGTAGCATGGGGAAATAGCAAGGAAAATTAAATATTTATTTAATTATTTTATATAATTGTATCTTTTAATTTGACCAAGTTGCCACTTCATTTGCATAACAAAATCCCTTTCCCACCTCTCTATGGAAGGCTGAGGTCGTTGGTTTTGTATTTTGGTTTAATTTTTTTAAAAAAAAAATTTATTTTATATAAAATATAAAAAATTAAGCCGATATTAAATGCTCTGCATAATATAACATGATTTTTTTATTATTATATTATAAGAATGTGCTTATTAGATGTCTAGTTTATTTAACATAATAAGCACATTCTTATATATATTTTTTATCGGATAAGGGAGGATTTAGTGGTAGAGGCTGAAAGGAAGGTGCGGAGAAGGGCTTGCCTTGGCCTAACTATTGCTATTTTGTAAATAAATATACTACTTGATAGGCTCTAAGATCTTATTTATTATTTGTATTTTACTTTTTAATATTAATTAAGAAAAAATTATAAAAATATTTTTAAAAAATTTGTATAAAAAATTATACGTATATTTTTAATGTTAATAAGGTGACCATAGAGGCGGACGGACGGAGTTATATTCTTTTTTGTTCAAAATAATTATATTATTATTATTTTTATTAAACTTATACATTATTTATTGTAAATAATTTTATTTATTTACTATCATTATTTTAAAAAATAATAATTAATTTCTTATTTTTTTTTACATAATTTATTATTTTATTATTAATTTTTTAATAATATTTTTTATAATACTCCTATTTTATTTATTTTAATTATTTCATTATTGTATTAAAATATTATTTATTAGTCTGCCGAATATTATGACATAAGGTGGAGATTGGGTGCTGATTTTAAAATTAGATTAATTATATCATAAATAAATAAGTTAATAATAATTATTTTTTTAATACAGACTTGGGATCCAGATCCAAACTCTTAACAGCAATAGGCCGTAAAGATTTTTTGGGCCTTAAAATAATTAAAGCCCACTTAATTTTTCATTATAAAATATTAATAGGTCTGATTAATATATATATATATATATAATATTATAAATATATTGTCTGTGTTAGAAAGGAATTGACTTGACCCCATATTCGGCAGAGACGATACACAAAGACAAACTTGCGCGTCGAGTCATCCGCACAATTCGACGTGTTTTCTCAACAAAGCATCGCCGCGCTGAAGCCGATTCTTTCGCCTTAATTTCTCTGTCGCCGTCGCCGTCGCCGGTGCGCCATTCTGTTGCATCTCCTTTTTGAACCGTTTATTGTTGCGAAACCTTTCAATTCTGAGAGAGGTTGCTGTTAATTCATCATTCTTCAAGGTAAGCATATGTATATCTCTTATTTGGAATTGATGATTTTGATGATTCTCCTGCATAAACTAGCGTATGTGGATTAATTGTTGCTTTTATGGAAGTAGTCGATTTGTCGACCTTGTAGCTACTTCAGTAAAGTCCATGGCGACTTGTACTGGAAAGCTGTGATTCGTTTGTGATTTTGGTAGAAGCTATTGTTATTTGAGGATCAATGAATCAGAGGTGGTGTTTAGGGATAGAATTAGGGAATCGATCAATTCGACTTTTGTTTCGTGTTGTAGTGCTTCTTTTCAACCGTGGGTTTTTGCTTCAGACTCTTCGAATTGAGTTCGATATGAAAATAGGTTGTAGAGTGATTCATTGGCTGATTTTGTTTTTATCTAGAAACCTAGCTGGAATGGTACTTAATTATTATCAAATAGAGCCATAAATATGGTAAAGAAATTTAATATTTTATTTCAGGAGAATTTGTGTTAATGCTCATAACTTATCTTCCCAAAATGATTGGGTGGAATGATCTATAAATAATTCCGTTCTTGAGCTATTCATTATGCTCTGTTTTAGTTATCAGTCATCAGTAAATTGTTGTGTAAGCAGTTGGAACCACAAGTACTTAGCTGGTTTGATTGATTAGAGAATGCTATTAATGAAATTCTGCAAAAAAATTGAGGTTGAGAAACCATGGTTAAATGATTAGGTATGTTCTTTAGAGGTTGATTATGTGGTTGTTTTCTTTCTGAATTCGTATCCTCGGAATTTATGGGATGCTTGGGGTTGGAAAGATGAACTATAAAGAGAGATTTAGGGATTTGGACAGAGGAAGAGAGATTTCCAATTGTATGATTTGCCTATGATATATGATTTATATTTTCCAACATAAGGTCTGATCTTCCATGACATGTAAATTAGTTAGTTGGGTAACCTTTAGGCATTGATCACAATTCACACAGTCACAAATCGGGTGGGAAGCCTAAGGATAGTCTTCTTGACAGGAGACATGCATCAGTATGATTTAAACATATAGTATTGTCTAATGAACCGACAACTAATAAATGTATAGTAATAAGTCTTTCTTTTAAATATTGGTGAAGACTGTACTGGTTGTGCGAATATGTGTCGGAGACACTTAAAATTATAGTGCTTGGTTGTTTGATTTTCTTTAGGGTTGGTTTTGCTTTACACACACACTACATTTTGTTGTTGCTTTAGGATTTATTTAATTATGTTTCACTGAATAAGATTATACAATTCGTATAAATGTGTTCTGACCTGTATTTATATAACTCGGAATACCATAAGGTTTAGCCATTTATGTACAGGAATGCGCAACAATTCTTCATTGAAATCCATAATCTCTTCGATTGTTTTATTATTCTTTTCAAATTCTGTGTTTTCCACTATTTCCTCAACATTCGGTGAGCAGAACACTTTGTTGAAGATGATACATAACATCGTTGATCACTTAACTAATTACCAGGAGTTTTAAGATTCAAATCTAGTTTTATTGAATGTTATTATGACAGCCAGGGCCCAGCACTACTTAATTATCAGAGGTAGCAACTATGGTAGACTCTGGAGATGTGTGGATGAGGGAATACAATGAAGCTGTCAAACTTTCTGATGATATAAGCAACATGATGTCAGAAAGGAGTTCACTGCCTGCAACAAGTTCTGAATCTCAGCGATCTACATCCACCTTGAGGAGGAAAATCACCATTTTAGGAACCAGACTGGATAATCTTGAGTTTCGTCTATCCAAACCTTCTGGAAAGCCGTCTCTGTAAGTTTGCTCGTTGAGCTTGATGTTAATAAACCTAATAAATTGTTTAGGTTGTATTGTTTCGAACTCTTTGATGATGATACCCTGCTATTCATTTCCAAAGTTTGTTTTATGTCAATTCATCTGGCTCATCTTGCTAACACGTGTGCGTTGAGGTGATGCATTATTTACGGTCAATCTGAAGATTCTTATGATCTTAAGCCTAAGATTTTTCATCCATTCTACTTCTGCTTCATTATTATAAAATGACCCAAGATTCTTTCTTATTATGCATTTTCTTGTTCAGTACAAAATCGTAGCATATAGTTTTTGCTAACAGTTTTTCACAGCCCTTTTCTTTCCTTTGTTTCGTATATTGTCTCAATGAATATGCAAAGCTTCTTTTTCCCGACTTAAAAAAGAACAGATGCTCAATTGTCGATCTCCCTAAGATGCCGGGTTGTTGGCTTGATTGCTTTCTCTATGTTCTAGATTTGAATATTTGTAATCGATCATAATACTAGAGAATGGCAACTTAGGTGTAGTGTTGTACTTATTTATATGATACTAACTGTTATTAGCGATTTGGTGATCCGCTCCAAGTTTTGGCATTATGTATTATGCACTTCTTGACCGTGCTTGGTCTAGCTTGCAGGACACCGAAAAACCTGAAATATAGAGAGGACTTGGTTGCAGATTTGAGATCCACAGTAAAGCAGATGGCTTCTGAGTTGAACGCGTCGAACTTGGGAAACAGAGACAGGTTACTCAGTCCTGATGTGGCGACAGAAAGTAAACCTGACGATGCTAGGAACAGAGCAGCTGGCCTTGACAATGTCGAAATATTCGGTCTACAACGGCAAATCATGAAAGGCTCGTGCTTTTATTCGAATTTAAAACTTTTGATCTTATATCTTCGATCCTGACGCCGAATTTAAAATTTTCCCACAGAACAAGACGAGGATTTCGACAAATTGCAGGATACGGTGATGAAAACCAAAGACATTGCTCTGGCTATCAACGAAGAACTCGATCTGCACACAAGACTAATTGTGAGTTCCCATTTCGCATAATATAACCTAAAATCAAGTCTTTAATTCACGTTTGTTCAATATTGCAGTTTGATCTCGACGAAGGAGTTGAGGTCACCGGCTCTAAGCTACAGGTGAAGGTCCATTTACTTATATATATATATATATTTTTCCGACTACTATTCTTACTCCATTAATCTATCTACCAACACTTTGATTCGTTTGTTTTGCAATGAAAACAAACAGCAAGCGAAGAGAAAGCTGGCCATATTGAACAAACGGATGAAGGGCGGGTGCTCTTGCGCGTCGTTGCTTTTATCCGTCGTCGCCATCGTGGTGTTGATTGTGGTGGCGTATATGCTGATCAAATATTTGTGAAGCATGAAATTGGCGCCATAGTTGCTATGGAGGTAAGTAACGGTTGTTATGTTTGATCGAATCCAGCTTATAAAAAATGTTTAGTTATGCTCAAAGTAAATATGCACACGATGGATCACTATTTTTGTTTTTCACTTTTATGGTGCGTTTGAATTCAAGTTGTGTTATTAACATCACATCACATGGTCGAGAGTAGAGATGGGATCAATGCGTGATTGATTTATATATATATATATATATGTATGATTATTATTTATTTATCAATTAATGAGATTGATTGTTAGGGCTTAGGGTCACTAATTTTGTTATTATTAATTATTAATATAATTATTGACCAAAGTGGTTTTTGTCGGGTAGCAGGAGTAGGGCAGTAGTAGCAGACCAGCAGTAGGAGGTAGGTAGGTAGATAGGTAGGTGCCTTAGCTCAGCTGTGACTTTATTTTTATTATTATTATGTTCTTAGTTCTATTGAAAAATTGTTATTTTTTATTTTTGTCTATCCCAAAATAAGATTACCATTTAATTTAATAATTGTACTACTTATCTAACATAATAAATATAATTTTTAACTTACAATATATTACAATTATTTTATTATTATATTATATTAATAAGGGTATTTTTGTCATTTTTATTATAATTTAATATAATACTAATATTAAAAAATCTACGTGAAAATAACAGACGTCGCTCTTTCACCGGGACGGAAGGGGTATTATTATTATTTTTTTAATGAAGTGAAATTTGCAATCGCTATCCGAAAATATACATTGGACAAACTTCCAACCGAACTTAATTTCCTCCGCAAACTAGGCCCTGCAAATTGTGTATTACTCCTTTCGTCCCATTTACCATGTCTGTTTCCGTCTCATGTCATTTTTATTTTTTAAAAAATGATTATCCATCATAATTTTATTTTAAATTTTTTAATTTAATTTTTTTAATTTTAATTAAACTAATTATTTATCTTAATTTTAATTTATAATGATTTATATTATAAATTAATTAATTTTATTAATATATTTTTAATTATTTATTAATTATATTTATCATAAATTTTCGTGTCTACGCCATTTTCGTGTCTACACTAACAAGGTTAAACGAATATGGTAGTATTATTGGTAGTAGTACAGAGAATCGGGAGCAAATTAAATTAAATTATAAATTATTTACGAGTTAGGGTGGCTGTTGCCCAAATGGAAACCCACTGATAATAGACTTACACTGGGTGGGTGGGTGGTGTACATCATCACCATCATCATCTGTATATCATCATCATCATCCATTAGTCATGTATTTTTCTCCGTCCCACTTGTCCTATCTCTCTTTTCCTGTCTTATTTATTGTCATTTTTATTTATTGAAAAATATTATGTATTTTAATTTTATTTAAAAATTTTTAATTTAATTTATTTTTATTTTAATTATATTAATTAATTATCTTAATTTTAATTTAAAATTATTTTTATTAATATATTTTTAATTATTTATTAATTATATTTTTTTTAAATTTTAAGTTTTCGTATCTACCGTATAAATAGAACACCGTATGTGAGTATACAAGACGAAAGGACTGTATAGGTCAAAGTTAAGTTGAGCGAGAAAGCAGTACCACTGACACCACAATATTTTATACTCTGCGTCTACATCTATTGTAATTTTACTCTAATCATAAATTTCAATTTTTACTATATTCTTATATATCCTCTTTTATATTATTTTATATAATTTTTTATAATTATAAATTACACCCTAATTTTAATTTATTTTTATATTAGATCCATACATATATAATTTATATTACTTTTCAACAGTAAAATTATATATCAATTTAAAAAATAAAATTATACATTATTTTTTAAAACAATAAAATTATATTATTTTCCAAAAATTAAAATTATATCACTTTTAAAAAATAAAATTATACATTATTTTTTTAAAAAAAATAAAATTACATACAACTTTTTAAAATATAAAATTATATATCATCTACTTAAAAAAAATTAAAATTACACAATACACCCAAAAAATACCAAAAATATAAAAAACACCACAAAACTCCACTCCATCAGTGTTACCCAAAAAATACCAAAAATAAGGTTGTTTTTTAGGTAAATTTTTTAATATTAATATTATATTAGATTGTAATAAAAAAGACAAAAATACCCCTATTAGTATAGTGTAATATAAAAGTAATGACATTTGAGTAATATATTGTAAGTTGAAAGGGTATTTATTATGTTAGGTAAGTAGTACAATTACTAAATTAGGAAATGATAATCTTGCTTTCGGACGAACAAAAAATAAAAAATAACAATTTTTCAATGGGACGAAAAGAGTATTTTCTTTTATTATTTTTGTCACTTATATTTAAGAGTATTAATTTTTATTATAATAAAAATAATAATATATTAATACATAGTATAATATTTTTTTCGTTTCCATTAAAAATACTATTTTCATCCCATAAGAAGTGTTTCATTTTCTATTTTCATTCGTCCCCAAACAAGAGTATAATTTCATAATTTAGTAATTATACTACCTATCTAACATAATACATATTCTTCCAACTTACAATATACTACAGAAAGCCACCACATTTATATTAGACAATACTAATAAATATATTTTTATCTTTTTTTACTACAACTCAATATAATACTAATATTAAAAAATATACGTGCAAAAAATAAACGTTACTTTTTATATGAGATGAAAGGAGTATTTTTTATCATTATTTTTATCTATTTTATTTTAAAAGTATCATTTTTTATTATAATAAAAACAATACTAATATATTAATACTAAAGTATCTTTAATTTCTACATAAATTATAAGTATATCATTATATATATTACTACTTTAGGGTTGTAGATTCTGTGTAGATCCGATTTGACCGAATTAACATATATTATAGGGTAACTAGTATATATTTATACAAATTTTAGCATATGATGTATTATAAGATAACATATGTAAAATTATAATATAATATATGATATATATTGTATTATAAATATACTAAAATATATATAAATATACGTTGCTCACATTTATAACATATGTTAATTCGACCAAATCAGAATTATACCGATCAGCACATGAAATATAAAAGATAAAAGTCTCTACTACATTTAGACATTTTCAATAATCAAATAAAATATTATTCTCTCCTTTTTACAAAAGATATAAATAGGTTAATGTGTGTTTTACAAAAGATATTTGATTCAATTCATTAATAATTACTCAATTTCAATTTCTTTTTTTTTTTTTTTTTTTTTTTTTTTTTTTATATATATATATATATCGTTGGCTAAAATTATGTATAATTTATTTGTGGTAAATAATTTTATACATGTATAATTTTATTACTTTTGATTTAATAAATAATAATCAATTTGCTACTATTTTTTTTTTTATTCTACTAATTTTTATTAATTATATAATGACTTTTTTTTATACTCCTTCCGTTTCACATACCATGTCCACGTGGCCGTTTCTATCCGTCCCATATGCCATTTTTTTTTTTTTGGAAAATGATTATACAGTTTTATCTCATTTTAACTTTTTAATTTTATTTTTTTTAATTTTAATTAAACTAATTAGTTATTTTAATCTTAATTTATAATTATTTATATTATAGGATAATTATTTTCACTAGTACATTCTTAATTATCTACTAATTATACTTCTCCTAAAATACTAAAATACCGTTATAGACATTGTACATGGGACGGATGTAATAATATTCTTTTTTTTTCTATCTTACTTTAATATTAAAATATTATTATTTATTAATTATTAACCAAATTTACATAATTTTATGTAACAAAAAGAGTATAATGTATATACATAATATTACACAAATATATTCAATTAGCCTCGTAAATTTAATAATTTAATATAAAATATTATTTTTATATTACCGATAATTTTTTAATACTAAATATAAAGAAAATACTTAGGGTGTATTTTTATAATAATTTTTCAAAAGAATATACTGCTTTGTTTTTTTCTTAAGAAAAAAAGGAAAGAAAAACACAGTCAATATATATATATATATAATGCCAGTGTTTTCTCGCTATATTAAACATAATCAAAATAATTTTTTCTATATATTTTAGTTCCTTTAAATTTTAAAAAAAAAAATTGAAAATTTTGTAAGTACTTATTTAATCATTTTTATTTGTTTTTAACATTAACGTGATACAGTAGCTTGATAAAAAAATTTATATTTAACAATTTGATGTCTTTTTTATTAAAAAAAAACGTTAAGTTGAAATAGGAGGAATATTAATTTTTAAAAATTAGATGAATAATAAATAAATAAATAGATAAAATTTTATGTTTAAGTAACACACTTTTACTCTAATATTATTTATTTTTTAAAAAATATTATATTAAATACATTTTATTCTCTTACCAAATATTAAATCAAATACAAATATTTTATTTTTTTTTAAACTTTCTAAATTTCAAAAACTTCCAAAATTCTCTGTCTAAACAAACCCTAAAATAGATGAATAATATAAATAAGTGAATGCATAAAGTCATAGGGTTTGTTTGATTTAAAGAATTGTTTTGATTTGAAATATAAAAGGTTGTATTATTATTTATTTATTTATTATTATTATTATTATTATTATTATTATTATTATTTTATATTGGAAATGACATTGAAAAAAAAAAAAAAAAAAAAAAAAGATTTGTTCCAACAAATCCATAGTCATCAAGTTTTGTTGTAAATTTGATAGCCAATCATCGCCATGATTAGAAGCCATACTTATCCTTCCTTCCTTCCATGACCATCATCATCTTTCTTTCACCGATCAATTCCTCATTTTCCTCCATATCTCCACCCTCATAACTTAGTCCCAAACCCGTAACCCTTTTAGTTGTCTGTGTTTCCATTCCTGCACAGGGAAGGAGGGAGGACGGTGATGATCGATATTGAAATCATCGATCTTGTAAGAAACTGGCCCAAGGAAGAAGAAGAATAGCAGCTGTTTGATTTTCGAGCATACTTATATACTATCTCCGTCAACAATATCCAACCAGACTTGAAAAAAGTCCCAAGAAGAAATGCCAATTTTGGTTCGCAGAAACCCTAATTTCCTGTTTGGGAGTTTCGCTGCAAATTAAAGAAGGGAGACTCTGATTTTTTAACTTTTAATTTTGATTCTCCTTTAGGTTTTTCAGATCCATCCATCTTTGGACCGAGTCGATTATTGGGAGGAGAGGGAGAGAAATGGGGAGAGAGACTCCATAGACTTGACAGAAGAGAGGGAGCACTGGCACACAATTGTATACAGTCATTATACCTTTGCTTGCGCTTGTGCTCGCTTGTCTTCTGTCACCCTTCTCTCTCTCTCTCTCTCTCTCTCTCTCTCTCTTCATCCCCTTCTTCAATCCCTTCCTGCTTTTTGTTTTTGGTTTTTCACCCTTTGCTGTTCTTGATTTGTTTTTTTCTTTTTATTTAATAATTTTTTTCTGGTTTGCTTGATACTGTCCATCTTCCTCGTATCCTTATTTCTTTTTTTTTTTTTTTTTTTTGATTTTTTTTGTATATTCGTGATTTG